AGGCTTCATGCTGCTGCTAAAGTTGCTGTGTATGAGTGGCAATATGAGCAAGGCATGGCTTAACCATGTTAGATATGTGACTTTGCCCAAATATCCTAGCAACTTTGGGATAGGAACTGACAACACCATGAATTTCACCTTAGAGAAATGAAGGTTTAAGGCAGAGAAGTGATTTGCCCTATGTCCTACAATGTAAAAACAAAGGTGAAATGGAAACTGCGATGCCCCAAAGCCAAAGTCTCTATGCCTCGTGCCTTGTACTTCTGCTGTGCACCTCAGCTTGCCTATTGGTAAGATGATCTTAAAATCAGATGGAAAAATGCCACACCCTACAACATCTCTATACCCGATATTAGGATTGTAAAACTCCAGAATAAAGAAAATTTCAGAACCCATCTAAGCCAACTTCTCACATAGCAGGGGGCTCTTCATTGTGTTTGTAACATGGCTTTAGTCAGGAATGGCTCATGACACCACTGGCTGTTAGGAACAGCAACTTGCCTAATGGGTTTCCCCCAAGCCCTTGACGATGATCTGTGATTCTAAGATATACAATCTTTCTGGTTCTCCCCATTATTAAACTATAACCACTTGTGGGAAAGATCTAGTCAAATAGCTATGTTTACCTGGTTGATACTGCAATAGCATCACCTGGCTAATTCCATACAGATGGGCAAGAAACTTCATCATGGCACTGGGAAGTGAGAATGTTGTTTCATGCCACTCCATGCTCACTAGCTCAGATCAAGCTAAACAAGGTGTAGGCAGAGGAGAGTCTCTTCCTGTCATCACAGAGCTCTAGCTGGGGATGGCTGCAGGGGCCAAGGGGCATGGTCAAGAGTCTGCAGGAATGGGCAGAACCTGCCAGCAGGAAGGAGAAAGGGAGGCTCACACTGAAGTCCAACCCTTTACCCTACAATTTTGATTGACTTCAGGCTAGAGAAAATAAAATATCTTGCTTAGCTAAGCAGATTTAAAAAATCAACTAAAGCTAAGGCTCAAATAGCCAAGAAATAGGTCTCAAGTTGGCATATTTGTGCCTGGGTTTATCCCCTTTCAACGTGCCTGATGAAACAGTTAGAAAACAGGTGCTGTCTGGGGAAGAAGTTTCATGGGGTGGGATGGGGTGTCTGCTCCCACTCAACTGTCTTATGAGTATAAAATGATTTACAAGGGCCTGATGTGATGGTTTGGTGGCTAAATCCTCACCTTGTACATGCCAGGATCCCATATGGGCACCAGCTTTTGTCCCTGATGCTCCACTTCCCATCCAGCTCTGTTTGTGTGCTGGGCAAGCAGTAGATGGTCTTGGGACCTTGCACCCATGCATTAACCCTGGAAGAAGCTCCTGGCTCCTGGCAGCTTCGGATTGGTTCAGCCCTGACCATTATGGCCACTTCGTAAGTGAACCAGCAAAAGGAAGATCTTCTTCTCTTTGTAAACCTTCCTTTCCAATAACAATAAAATAAATCTTTAAAACGTGATTTATAAATGGTTGGTATTCAATATGTATTTCCTTTTGTTTGTAAAAAGGAAGCACATGAAGGCAAGCATGTTATACATGCACAGCACACACAAGCATATGGATGAGCAAACACAGGCAGTCCGTATCAGAATCCCACAAGGACATGTCAGTGCCCTGAAGGCAGGAGTACTCCCTCCCTTTGAAGCACATCCCAGGGAAACGCTGTGCAGGAGCTCTCAGCACAGATGGGATGTCAGCTCTGGCACACTTCCTGCTTTGCAATCACACTCGCTAGAGGCACATTTAAAAATACCGTGCCTCCCAGTGTTGTCTGCTAAGCAACTACTCAGATTCGTAGACTATGTGTGAGTGCGAAGGGAGATATACAAAACTCCGTATTTTTTTCTATCTTGTCAGTAATTTGGTTTTGGTCATAAGTGTTGGGCAAAAACAGAGAGAAATAAGCACTGTGAAATCACCCTGGAACAGCTTTGCCTTGACTCACCCATCTCCAGCAGTCAGTGCAATGTCTGTAGCTAGCAACGCACCCCTCAGCCACTCTTTTGGTAGTGACGGTAATTTGTAACAGAAAAAAATACACTTTTTTGTCTAGTAAGTATGCAACTAGCAAGTGCTATGTGGGACATCTGGCAGCATAGATACACCACCTTTAAATATAGATTTCTGGAACTCAAGAATTTCACTGGGTGCAGAAAATACTCTTCACCCAGGAGGATCTTTGGGGCACCATGGTATTAATTATGATGAATGAAGAATCGTAAAAATCAAATGTCCAAAACTGGGGGGGATGTGGGCTAGGGAACAGATAACAACAGGACAGCTGTGTCTGATAATATGGTGGGGCCCTGTTCTGTTTGCTGATCACCAAATGCAGTAGCATAGAAGACAGGTGAGTGAGTGAGTGCTTGCACACATGCATGTAGACAGGTAACAGTCTGGAAATAGACATACAGTGAGATATTAGGTTAAAAAGCAACAAAAATTACAATACTGAGGCTAATAATATGGTGTAACAGGGAACAGATAAAGCTTCCACCTGCAATACTAGCGTGCCATGTGGACACCAATTTGAGTCTTCACTGCTCCATGTCTGATCCAACTCCCTACTAAGTAGTGTGGGGGCCAGCTCTGGCTGCTGTGACCATGTAGAAAACAAACCAGGGATTGAAAGATTCTCTCTCTCTCTCTCACACACATGTACACACACCACACACAGACACAGACACACACACACACACACACACACACACACTCACACTTCCTCTCTCTTCATAACTCTAACTTTCAAATAAATAAAACTTTTCCAAACCTGCAATATTATAAATAGACTACAACTATCTCGGGCCAAACAGAAAAAAATCAAAGGAAAATGGAAGAGAATCCAATGTATTAAACAACATGCACTGACTTTGAAATAACTGTGTGGTCTCCTGCTCTATTTCCACATGGTTTGCATTTTCTATAATTAACAAACCATCAAAGCATTCATCTCTTAAGGATCAAATGCTCAGCCCAGTGCCAAGCACAAAATGAGTCTGCATAAATGTTTCACAGTTTTGAAGGAAAAAACCACTAAATTATTGCTTATAGGTTGACACACATTTTTTTATTCTCTCCTTCCACAAATGTCTACAAAAAGAATAAAATTCAAGCTACCAGATCAAAAAGAGCGAAAGAAAGAGAGAAAGAAAGGGAGGGATAGAAAGAGAGAGGGGTGAGGAGAGAATGGGAGGGAGGGAAAAAGGATAGGAAAGGAAGGCAAAGGAAGGGGAGAGAGGGGAAAGAAAGAGGACAGAGAAGTTGAATGGGGAGGAAGAAAGGAGCAATGTGAAAGGAAGGAGAAACAATGGCAAAGAGGAAGCAGAGTTTGGCTACAGAAGGGCTGGAGGTGAGTTAGGAAACCCAGTGAAGAACGGGACTGCTGCACATCCTGCAGAAATGAGGCCCGTGGGATCCTGGATGCCATGGAAGGCAGGGGTGTCACAAGGGCGACATGTTGACAGGGTACACCTATTTGCTCATCAGTGCTCCACGCAGCACCCATTGCCTTGGCCACAGTGATTCAGTATTCTCTTTTGTATTAACCCCAAGTGTTGACACTGCTGCATTCAGAAGATGACGGTAGACCATCAGGAAAGTTATTACCCACCAAAGTGGGAACTCCACGGTCATTTATTGAACTGACACATTGAGGGACAGCAGAAATGTCACATAACTCAGAAACAAAATTCTAGGATGATGAAATCCTCCATTGTGGAAAGATCTGAAAGTGCAGGCTTCTGAGATGGGAATTGCAGGTGGGTGGAGGGGGCCAACATCCTCATTTGCCGCCTTTGCGTTTTGAGATCATAAGCTTTCTGGGACTTTTTAATTTGTTCAACTGCTTGCACAAAATCCCTGATCAAAATCTGTTTACCAGTCTGGCTTGGACCTATGCTGCCTGTTGGTACTCAGGGCTGTGGATCCCATCTGGGCCGTCTGTGACATGGTACTGACAATGCCCTTTTTGCAACACCTCAGAAAGCAAGCACTTGACCGTGAATGGAAAGTGTTTAACACAGACATTCCACAGAGACCACTGGGGGAAGTTACATTCATCCTATGCACACCATCACTGAACTCAGCTGTGTTACTGAGCAAGGCAGAGTGACAGCACCCAGGGAGGGTGTTCGTTTTTCTTTTTATAATACTTTCAGCCACTTTTTGGCTTTAAATAATTTCTCCCACATGAGCTACGCTCTGTCTCCATAGACAGAGCCATAATGACAGGTGTCTAGAATCCCTCAGACATCATGTCACTCACCAGGAATTAACGTTACGGGCATCAGCCAGGTGGCGTCTGGAGCCCAAGCCAAACCTCTCATTTCCTGACAAAGGGACACAGAGGAGGGGCCGGTGTAGCCCACACAGAGCTGCTGCCTTCCTCCACACCCCGACTGTACCCACCACTGCCCATTTCCTGCTCCCTGGAACAGGCTGCTATGACAGCCATGGCCCATGTGCCGAACAGCTCCATCTGGGCTGCTCCCTCAGTGCCAGAGCCACAGACTCCTGGCCTCAGACCTAGTGCCTCAACCTCAGCTGTCAGCCTTAGTATGACGTATAACTGTGAGTCCCAAGTCTTTCTCACTAAAAACACCTGTGTTGTGCTTTGTGGCTACCTTGATGGTTACATTCATCTTGATGTTGCCCCAGGATTGCATAGGTCAGGTCACGCCTGGGTGAAATAATCCTTAAAGTAAAAACTGGAAGAACTGAGCTAAGGCTCCCGCCCCACCTCCAGCCAGCTGCATGAGAGGAACAGTCCTGTTCATTTCTTTGAGCAGATTTCTGCATCTGCACAGAGGGCGCACTGCCTCACTGCCCTCCCTCCGTGCATGCATCATCGGAATGAACCAGAATGATTCTAGTGAGAGAGTCCTGGGAGGCCTCAGTGACTGGCACAAAGGTGAAGGGAGGAAGAAAAGAAGCAGAGGGGCTCTTGGCAGAAAGATCCAGGTGGCAATAGACTTACCCTTCGCTGGGCGGGATGGCAGAGTGACTGGAGGGCAAAAACTGGGGGCATCATTTTGAGCAACTGGAAAGTTAAAAAAAAAAGGCAGTGTTTTAGCTCTTTTCATCTCATTCTTACAGAGTTGGAGAATCATGAATCAGGTACAAGATGCTAACGGCAACACTGGGCTTTGAAGACAGACTCATTGAGCTGCGTATCAATTAGCATAGGCTAGGGTACCCGGAGATAACAAAGAGTCTCCCTTCTCAGCAGCGTACAACCATGAAGCAAGCTTCTTCCTCTTGGCCACAGCAGAGGAGCTGTGAGAGCATCCACAGCATCTTCCCTCAAGGCCACAGCTGAGAAAGAATTTTCAGGGCAAAGATCAAGCAGCAAATTTCCAACTTGCTTTTGCATGTCTGCCTACAAGAGATCCACATTATGACTGCCTGCACAGCATTATCAAAGCAATGAGTGAGGACATGTAGACCCACCACTTGCCACAGAACAGAGAGCCAGAAACACGTGGCAAACAACAGAAACACCAGCCATCTTCACTGAGTGATCTGTGGTCTTTGGCAATGCGCTTGAGCTTTTTGGGCCTCCATTTCCACATCTGTATAGTGGGATGGTGCAACCTGCCTCAACAATCTCCTGTGAGATGGCAGGAGACAAGGACATGTGTGATACAGTATGAGAGCTCACCAGCTGACAGCCTAGGCTTTGCAGACAGCCTTGGATTTGAACTCACTATGTTACTTAGGAGTCATGTGCAATGATAAGCTATCTAACGTCTGCATCCGGTTTCAGCATGGGTAAATTGCGATCGATGTCAGAATGAAAGCAGACACCATCTCCATAGACCCCACAGATGGTTCATGAATGCTAATTACCTCCTTTGCCCTTCCTCTTCCTTTAAGAGCAAATCTTTTACTGAACAAATCTAAGATTTCAAATACCCCACACTGTGCTCTTTTCCGAAACTAGAGCTGCCCACAGCACGTCTGTGCTCACCGGGAACTGCTAAAAGTGTGATCTGTGCTCAAGAGAGGATCTTTGGGTTCAGTGGTCCAGGGCAAAACTTGCTTGGCCACTCTGCTGCTATGTGATCTTGAGGAAGTGATAAATTCTCTATCCCCAATTTCCTATAAAGTGAGGATGATAATAGGTCTCAAGGCTATGAGGTATCGGTGAGTTGGTGTAAGCATAATTTTTGGTGTACAGTAAGTACTCAATAAATGCTGGCCATAGGTCATCCTTAATATTGTCCTTTCATAATGACATAGCCTGATAATTTTCTCTTATCCATGTCTATCTCCATGGAAAGGCTGGGGTCATAGTCCTGCTCCATTCTCACACCTGTCTCCTTCAAAGATCCCCTTTCAATTTCATTACGTCTTATCCTACTACCATCATTGGAAGGCCCTGATTTTGCCTTCATTAAATCATGCAGATGGCTTGGTAACAGACACCTTGTGGGACTCCACCCCAGATAATCTGTATCTACAGGTGTGATGCAGGGCGGGAGACAGATATTTCAGTCGGGGGTGACAATGCTAGTTGAGGGCTTTAGGAAGCTCTGAGCTAAGGGTGCTGTCCTCCCTCACCCTGTGAGCTCCACACACAACACTTGTGCTTCCTAGTAGCCACCCTTCATGCTCCACCTCCACCACATGCTCCCCACGTGCTGTCCTGTGTCATGGATATCAATTTACAAATGCCTGTCCTTCCTGAAAGGGATTCTGACAGCAAAAGCCTCAGAGAACAATGTGTCTATAGGGAGGGCTCATTGAAATGGTATTGCCCTTGAAAGCTACAATGTTGCTTCTATCCATCCGAATTGATTGGAGTCAGCTCAGCTTGCATAGGACACATTTCTGCAACACTGATGGAAAATTGGAAACTGTGTAACTATCTGATTCTTTGAGTGAACTGCAGAGCAGATCTGCTCAGAACATTGTCGCACATGCATTGCTTTTCAGCAAAGCATGCATCACATAGTTCTGCCAGTGAAAAGTGATGGGCTCAACAGGAGCTATTAGCCTGAGGGAAGACTTTCTGAACTTTTGAGGACTCTTGATCAGCTTTGTGGGGATCTGGAGCTTAGATGTCCTTTGGAAGACTAAGAACTATGATGAGAACTTTGAAAAATCCTACTGAAAAATCCAGGCGGAAGTACTCAACTAATTAACACTTCTTAGACCACGGATGAACCCTAGCCTTCCTGGGATTTGGGAGGCATGTGCAAGAGCAAGCTCACACTGTCTCCCTCAGCCAGTTGTGCTTGCTTCTCCCCAGCTCTGCTTTCAGCTGCAAGCTGACCTAGAAATTGACCCTGATGGGTCAATTCCCACCATGGCAAATGGTAAACACTTTTGACATTGTGATATAACACAGGTATGTTTGCTCCTCTTCCTAGCTCTTGGCACAGAGCTCCTGAAAACCTATGAATTTCTTAGGCAGCAGGGGTGATAGAAGCATCTTTTGCCTTCCTGATTTGTTACTGCATTTGGTTTCTGGCACAAGAGCTTCTGTTACCTTTTTGGGAACTCTGGGGGTAATAAAGGTGTCTTCCAAATGACCAGTAGCTAAGGCCTCCCCAGCAGCTCTGTGATGAGGCTAGTGGCCCTAAACCCCATGACCTGTCAGAGGGCTACAAATTTAAGCCCAACCTCAACCTCCAGAGGGATCCAAAAGAAGCAGAGCTGGAGTTTATTCACCAATGGCCAATGAGTTATTCCCTTACATGTAAGTAATGGAGTCTCCATGACCTCCCTATACTGGCAGGTTTGCAGAGCTTCTGAGTTGCTGGACACATGAAGTAACGGGGAGCACGTACCCTGGGGACGCATGGAAGCTTCAGCCCCTCAAAATACCTTGCTGAATGCACCTCTTCCACTCAGCTGTTTCTGAAGTATAACTGTTGTAATAAACCAGGAAGGCAAAATAACTATTTCCTGAGTTCTGTGAACTACTCTAGTAAATTACCAAATGGAGGACAGGGTTCAGAGGTTCCCCAACTGGCAGCCAGTTGGTCTTTAAGTACAGGAGCCCAGGGCTATGACTGGTATCTAAAATAGGGACCAGTCCTGTTGAGACTGCGGGGAGTCAGGGTCAGAATTGAATGGAATTCTTGGACACAGTTGGTTTCCAGAGGGTGAAGAATGGGTTGGTGTGGGAGAACAAAGACCATACATTTTGGGTCAGGAGTTTGGTGAGTAACAAGTATCTCTCACCCTCACGTTTGCCAGTCCACATGTTAAACAGTTAGCAGCTACCCAAACTGGGTGACATCAGGCCCCTATCTCATCAGTTAAGGAAGTAAAGACACTGCATGGGCAATGGCCACCTGAGTGTATAGAGCATGCTCTGTGCTTGGTGAGTGGCATGAGAAGGCTGCTGACGGCTGGAGTGCACAGAGGAGGACCCCTGCACACGGAGTCTGGTTGCAGCGTGCAGAGAGGTGCAGTCCCAAGAGCTTGGCATTCCCTTCCCAGATTCCCTTCCTGTATCTGGGGTTGCAATAGGTTCCTAGCACCTTCATGTAGCAGAGGAAGGGGATTGTGAGGCTTTGGTCGGTTTACTTAGAAGTCACACTCACTCTGTAAACAAATCAAAGACCTCACCTCCCTGCAGGCAGTGCCAAGCTCTGGACAGGCAGCCCTCAGTCTCTTCCAAAAGCAAAAGATCCCAGTGCCCTAGCAGCTTGCTTGTTCCGAGGCTCCCTGTGTTCTGGGACACCACTAGAGCAGTGTTTTCCCTGAACTTTTACCCAGGCCCTCTGGATGCGGACATTTCCTCTGCTCCCTGGAAGGGGCTGCAAACAGCCACACTGGCACTCACAGAGGCTTTGTGTGACTGTGAATCTGTGCTGGGATTCACAGGATCCCCTGTGCACTTGAACACAGCCACGGACACAGGCTCCCTGGTGTCCTCCTCTTGGGAGTTCCCATCGTGTGCCTTTCTCCTCCTAGATGCTAGGGCACTGCTCAGTTCTTTGCTCTAGAAACAGAGTTGGAATAGAAAGTTCATGCTGCAAGCTTCCCTGTGTAGGTTTTCACCATTGAGGCCCTGAGATCTGGGAAAGCAGGAACCCTGGTTCCCTCATTTCTATATCTGGTTGCCCATCACAGGCAGGAAGATGCTGCCACTCTTTCATTCTTCTCCCCTGTGCCTCTGACCAAGCATCACCCCAAGTGCCACTTCTGCATAATCCATCATCAAACACAATCCCTTGCCTCCTCTTCACGCTCACCTTCCACCCCCAAACACTTCCCTTCCACCTCCAAAAGATCCTGCAGCACAAGCCATGGGAATGGGCATGGGAAAGCACCCTTTCCTTAGGTGTATAACTTGGTGTAGGAAAAGCATTTCTGAATTGTGTCTGCCATATGCTAAGGGTTTAAGAAGGGTTCCCTTTCTGCCACCTCTTTGTCCTTTGCCAAATGGTCAGCCTTTGGCAGGCAAACTTCTACTCCTTAAATCCCTATGGTGTCTGGCATGTGGTACCTAGTGGTAGCTTCCCAGTAGATCAAACATGCATCCAAAGCAAGGCCAAGTTCTTGTTCTGAAATTCTTCATCAGAACTTCTTGATAAAACCTGATGTCTGGTGTTCCACTTTGACTGAGAGGTAAAAACAAGGCTCCCGTCCACTCTTCAAGTTTCAGGTCCAGTAGCTCCTCATCCCCAGCCCATTTTTAACATTTCCTACTGCCATGTGTATGACTGGCTCCTACCCAGGATGAGAGAAGAGGTCACAGAATTAGCTTCTGTGCTGAGATGTTCCAGAAGTAGTTTTGTCTACTAGAGAACACAGAGTTGGAAACCAAACCAGTGTTCAGCTCCCAGTTAATGAGTAAGTTTTGGCTCGAATGATCTCACAAATCAAATAATAGTTTGTACATGTCAACAAGATCCAACCGGGAGAACAGTCTAACTATGAAGCCACTCTTCAATGAGGTTCTTTTTTACTGTCTAGTCTAAGACTTATCTCTATTTCACCCTTTTCTAATGAAGATTATAAAGAGACAGAGACCTTGCCCTGCTCAGTGGAGAATCACACTACAGTCCGTCACCATAGCTTTCTAACAGCCTGCCTTTCTCTTCTGTTCTAAACCTCTTGTGCCAGAATTGCAATCTGCCATGTGCGTCCAAGATATTTCCTACCTGGGGTCTGAATGGAGAACGAGAGATGAACCCCAACTGAATCAGTTTTTCTTCCTCTACTTTCCCACTGAAAGCAGGCAGCACATAGTGGTAGAAGGCTGCCTTCTAGTACATTTCCGTGGCTCTAAGCCTGTGAGAGATGGCTGGAGAAGACCCAGGAGTCAAAGGACAGGAAGGGCTGTGGGAGCTGTCAGCAGACATTCACCATACCCGAGTCAAGTAGACTTCTTGCTAGCTCCTCATGAACACAGCACTTCATGCATAAGACTCATTCTAGTACTCAGCCCAGTACACTGTAGTTGATCACACAGGTTTCTGTTCCCCTCTCTAGGTTGCATCTATGTAAAATAATGGCATCTCATTAAACTTAGGGTTCTCCACATCCAGTAAATCTCAGTGCATTCCATAAAGCCCCTGAGCTTTCAGCCTCACCATGCATGGGATTCCTCATGAGAACAGTTCATTTCTGATTAGGAACTCTACTTTAGCCTGTGAGTGTGGGAAAACAGGAATCATTCAGTCCCCAGACCAGCACCAGATGAGGACATAGAGATTCAAAAAACCTAAGTCACTGCCCCAACATCATAGAGCAGGTGGATGATGGATGTAGAACCTGGGCCCAGAGAATGCTGGGCAGGCAGCCAGGTACACAATTAGAGCCTGCTAAAGGGAGGCGCCCGAGTATGACCGATACTCAGACGGAGCTGGGGGCACGAGAACTCCCCTGTGAATCTTCAGAATTTCCTGCCCTGCAGTTTCTGGTCAAAGCTTCCGAGTCCCCAGCATGACACCAAGAATACACATTGGAAAAAGTGAGTGGTCTGGGCAGTGAGATGAAGAGAAAGAGAGCTGATGGAGGCGGTAGGGACAATGAGCTCTGTGGGTTCATTTCCTTGCCAATGCCTGTGAAGACGCTCTAGCACTCTGGTCTCGTGCCCATTTTACTTCTGAATAGATAAATTACTCCATAATTTCCCCCAGTTCCTCCATGAGTCATATGAAGATGGAAAAATGACATTATTCAGACTTTGGTGGGGTGAAGAGGTAAAAGGAAGCAGTGACAGGTGACACCTAAGAACCCAGAGCTGGACCCTAAGATCAGGATCCTATGCAGACACACTCTCCTCCAATCCCCTGGGACTTAAAGTGGGCATACTGAAATAATAGCTTTTTCAAAACACAAACTCAACAAGGTTGTGTGTTGCATTATACAATCCTAAAGTGTGTTTTTTGGGTTTTTTGTTGTTGTTGTTTTGTTTTGTTTTGCTACAATAGGTCAACAACTTAGGATTAAAGTAAAAGGCAATGGAGTGATTTCAGATCAAGACACAGGATACTGAAGCCAGATACCGGCGGGAAGATCTTGTTCAACCTGCTAATGATCAACTCCAAAACAACCTGTCCCACAGTGGAGGAAGCTGGAGGAGGCCGGTGGGCTCATCAAGGAGCACCCAGGGCAAACTCTGCATAGGAGCCTGAGGTGGCCCTTTCAGGTTAGAGGCGGCTCTGGAACAAGAAGCCAAACCACCAAGGCTTGGGTCTGTTAGTCTTTGTCTTCTTTAATTTATGAGCCAATTGCTTGTTAGTCATCCTAGTTAGGGGAAATCCAGCAGAGAGCATGCCTAAACATCCTACTATCCAGCCCCTTAAGGGAAATGCAACATTGAAAAAGGAAGGGGTGGGAGTGCTGTGATGGGTGACGTGCAGGATGCGGAGCTCTCTGTTGCAGACATCCTAAGAAACCTTCTAGATCAGACTTTGCACGACTCATTTCCAGAGCAAGGACCAAGCAAAGTTGAGCACCTGCCTTACACTGACTGTGAACTGAAGGAGGTCACTGATGGGAGAGGCTGCAGACACAGCTTAGCCTTCCCCTTGGAGTCCTAAGATGGGGATTTGAAGCTTTTAGGAGCTGAGACATCTGTGTGAGCATGCTTCTGGGACATAGATAGAGACATCTAGCCTCCATTCAATCACCTGCAGCTCCCAGAGTGTATCCAAACAGAAACACTCACAACAGAAGAGGAGATAGAGCCACGGTGAGTCTCACTCCCTTGCTCCTGATGGAGAAACTGAGGAATGGTCTAACGTTCTGGGAAGCAAACCCCCAGCAGACAGCGGAGCGGAGAAGATCCTGAAGAATGCTCCGTGGAGAGCAGTGGATCCTCTGTCACATCCCAAGGCCATTCACTCGTTAATTCCACCATCAGGTTTAAATTGAGATTCCCAACATGTGCCAAGTTAGAACCAGCATACTTCAAGGCTCCGCTCTGGGCCGACAGGCTCTGGACCAGGAATTCCTTCTTGCATTGATGCTGTCACGTGCACTCTGGTTGTATCCATTTCTCTTTCTGAGACTGCGATGGACTACATTATCCTGATTAACTAACAAGATGAGAAAAACATGGGAATTTGGCAGAGGAGGTATTTTTTGGGCTTTGCTATATGCAACAGCACCCTTGCTATCTCCTTGTCTTAGCCTGAGCAAGGCCAAACATCCCCTTAAATTTAAGGTTTGAATACAAAAGAAAAATCACTGATGATTGCGACACACTGAAGTTGTCCACTGTTCAAATTAAACGTCATCCATGGAGCTGACCCATTTTCACTTCAGGAAGCAATTTGGTCACCATCTTTCCTTTGAGTCAACGAGCAGCCTTCCAGCTGATTAACTTGTGTTAAGCAGAATTAGTTTTTTGTTGCTTATAACCACTATATCATGGCTAACACCCTTCCTCACCCAACGCTGGATTGTGACAGAGTCAAGTAAAGAAGCCCACGAAGCTGCCGGGAGGAGTTACTTACTGGGCTTCTGGTACCAGCCGAAGGGGTAGGTGCGGACTTCTGTGTCTGGAGAGCCACAGTCCCAAATATGCCAGGCCCCTCCATTTTCCTCACTGCATGTTTGAAGACCAAGGCTGTTCAGAATTAAGCATGTCACCTCCCCTCCTGGAAAAAAGAAAAGGGGGAAAAAAAAGCCAGCTAGGACCAGGAAGTTAAGTACCAGAGATACCAGCTAAATGAGAGAAATTGAGCAAGCTGATTGCTCAGTAGACATGAAAATCAGCCCTGTTCACCTCCTTGAGGAGCTGCAGGGTCCAAGTAAGAGAACAGTGGAGACTGCCTACCCCAGACTATTCAGTGTACAGGGAGAGGGGCCATCACCATGATCACCTTTTAACTGGGAAACATTCAGAAAGCCAAAGCCGGTGCAGCATGGGTCTGTGTCACAGAGTCGCTCACATTCAAAGAACCTGGTGTGAGATGAGAAAGAGCAGTCTGAGAGCTTTTGTGGGTGGCCTTAGGGTCTCCGGGGTCATTCCTATTTTGGAACCACTTTCTTCATACCTGCCTAAAACTGAGGCATCAGACCAACACACACTCCAAAACAACCTGTTCCCTAGCAATAAGGTCCTTTCTGAAGACAATACTCCTTACTCCTTTCTCAGAAATGTCATCTCACCATGCTTCTTTCCATCACTCAGCCATTTAGCAAACATGTATTCTATGCTTATCACATGCCATGCTCCAGGTCAAGCTAACCCAAGGTCTGGTTTTATAATCCTCTTGAATAGAGCACCAGGAGGCTCTGAAGATCAAGTTCATTGGCATGCTTGATAATTTCTATTAACTGAAAAGGTATAGCTCAATATTTCTCCTTTCTTAGCTGAATGGAGGCCCTGGATTGAATAGTAGGAATTTATCTTAGCTAGGGCTTTGATGTTGTAACCTTCTCATTATCAAAATCCTCAGTCCTTTTGGGTTCTATAGGACTTATTTTTATTTTTGTCTTTATCTTTTGTCTTGTGCCATCTTCTCCGTACAAGTAGAGTGGTCTTAGTAATAGACACTGGAGCTGTGATTAAAACAACTCACCCATTGGAAACAGATTTCTCAGACATGGGCACTTTGCTTCTAATGGAAATCCCCGACACTTTTTGGAATGGCAGGCGCATGTAGAAGTTTTTCACTTTATTTGCCAGTGTAACTATACAAAAGAAGAAAACAAAATGGTGTTATTTAAATAAATAGGCACCTTTGAACCTATAAGGCCATGAACCTATAAGGCCAAGGGAGCAAAACCACAGACTGACAGCTTCCAAACACAGAATGTTAAACTCGGGTTACTCTTGGCTGCCATTCCTAATCTGACTAAAATAACAATAAAGACATTCCTGTGATAGCGCAAATTCATACTTGTGAAGCTGGTAGGAGAGGAAACCATAGCAATAAAATCTGTTAAGCTACAGAGTAAAAAACTGGCTTAATAAGTCCCCGAAAAGACAACTCCATTTTTTCCCATGGGAGGAACCCAAAAGCAGCTCCACATTCCTTTGGAAATGCCAGTAAGTGTAGCGATCAGCACAGCTGGGAGTACAGGAGCCTAAACCAGAAGGAGCTGCTGAGAATCTAAGCATGATACACTTGGTTTTCCACATGCCACACCTCTTCTTCGGCCAGTGCCATCCCCATCATGGAAAAGACAGGAGGCTTATAGAAGGTAGACGGAGGGTCTCTCCCATGCTTCAGGCAGAAGGAATGCCACGAGCATCACTTTGCAAGTGAGGGGTTCTTCCAAGTCAGTGTACATGGTGAACAGTAAGCCTTCCCCACTTTCCAACCTTTCCTGGCAACTGTACTACTAGCATGTAGGATTATGGTCCAGGAAAGTTACTGAGATATTTTTCTGGAGAAAAACCTAAGGGTGGGCTAGCCAATCTGTCCCACAGAGAAACCTACAGTAGACAGGCTGCCACCATGAGCTCAGAGCTTTCCAATCAGCCTGGGGGCCTCCTTCATATCAGAGTGAAAAACCAAAAGGCACTTGTAGCACAGAAAGCCCCAGCAAAGCAGACAGGACCAGAAACAAAGCATGGCAACAGGTCAGGAAGATAGAGACTGTACAGGGTGACAAAAAAACACGGTAAAATAGAAGTGCATCACTGGTGATGTGGTGCAGTGGATTGTGCAAGTGCACATGCTGCTGCTGGTATTTCATCTAACGGTACTAGCTGTTGTCTTGGGTTCTGATTGAGCTCTCTGCTAGTGCAACCAAGAAAGCAGCAGAAGATGGCCATGTATCTGGGCCCCTGTCACCCACATGGGAGGCTCAGATGACATTCCAAGTTCCTGGTCTCAACTGGCCCAGCCCTGCATATTGCAGCCACTTAGAGAGTGAACCTACAGCAGGGAGATCTTTCAGTCTCTGTATTGATCATTCTGCCTGTCAAATAAATAAGTTTTTTAAAAAGGTATTTTGTTAAAGCCAGTTACTGCTGAGCTCATCCATATTAAGGAGCCAGGTGTGGTTCCCACAGACCCATGCACCTGCAGTGGCTTTTTCTATTGAAACTCCAAAGTGGAATTATTCCCAATGGTTGACTCAAGGCAATTTTTTAAACAGCCTTCCACCTCTACAAGGAACATAGATAACTTAATTCTGAGAGGGAGAAATTAGTCTTAATATTTTCAAAATCACAGAGCCAGAAGCCTATTGGAAATAACTGATTATCCTGCTGAGAAACCTGCAATCGACACACACACAGACTGACACAGAATCCCCCAATGCTCACCTTTCTTCCGGAACAAGGCCTTGGGCCTGTGGGGCAGAACAAGCCTGCAGCCCCAGCTGTTGGATTCTATGATGTCATCACACTCCTGGGCTTCTGGGTAGAGGGTGCAGGTATAGTACAAGGGCTCGCTCTCTGTTATATCCACAAGCCGACAGAAAAAGGGTTCCTGGACACAACCTACAGGCAACAGAGCACTGGTTGTTAGTCCCTGGGAGGCCTTCAAGTCCAATGAAATCTAGGGGGAAATGCCTTGAAGAGGCTCTTCCTAGGCAAAGTGGAGGACCAAAGCAGTTATGATCACATGATGTGCAAGGACTAAGAAAAACACTGGTGTTCTGCTAGCTAGGCAGATGGTGTAAATAAGGTGGCATCTGAATGGGGTGAGAGATAATTCAGACTTAACACCACAGGGGGTACAGTCAGGATCTACAGACCAGAGGCTGCGGGGCTATGAAAACTGTGAATGTGCTGTCTGATTCACCTGCCCCCTTTGTCACTGGTGTAAGTGAGTGGCCAGGAGCAAGGAATATGTTTTACTCATTTGCTTGTTTTGGTTTCGTTTCTTTCATTTCCAAAATCAAACCCAGGACCTAAAATATAATGCACATTCAACAACTGCCTGTTGGGCAAAGGATGGGTGAATAGCTGGGATTCATGGGGTGGTTAGAACAAATAGATGGGTGAATGGACAAACAGATGAATGGATGATAGATTCTGGGATGAAAATTAAGGTTAACTATACTGTATAGTTCTTAAAGATAGGAGTTGTGTCCTGTCTTTCTTCTATTAAAGAATTTCAGAGAATTCATGGAAAACCCTGAAGCAGACACTTAGCTCAAAGATTGGTATACCCAGGTTAGAGTCTTGGCTCCACCTTCTAACTCAGGCCTGCTGGGGCAGCAGTAAAAGCTCAGGTACTGGCTTCCTGTCACCCACATTGGAGGCAAGGATTGAATCCCAAGCTCCAGTCCAGGCCTGGCTACTATGAGCCTTTGGAGAAGGATCCAACAGATGGAAGTGCTGTCTGAGTATGTGAGCGCGTGTGTATGAGTGTCTTTTTCACAAACAAAAAATGTCGTGGAAAACAAAATTAAAAGACTAATTTAAAAGTTTTTAAATCCTTGAAGTATTTTATAGCATGCAGTTTTCATGAACTTTTTGAAATGCCCTCAGATATCATGTGCTACACTAAGTGTAGTCACCACTGAGTTACGTCACTGGGCTTGGTCTGAGCTGTGTCCTAGGAGTTGTTAAATTTGTCCTTTGATGTCTGACCACATGGTGTAGAAGAAAAAGCATAAGGTCCAAGGATGCTCACGAGAAAGACACCACTGGTTTGCCTCCTGAGCTGAAAATAGGTGTTTGAAAAGCCAGTGCTTTTGACTGGGCAGGACTCGGCTTCCATTGACAACAACTTGGTTAACGTCCACAGGCGAGAAAAGTTCTCCTGTCAAACCTGAAAAAGAGAGACAACATCAACTTCCTTTGCCCTTGTGTTCGCAGTAAATATGAAAGAGAAAGTAATGTAGGTAGACACAAAGAGCCAGAGCAAGCGAGGTGAGGACCTCTTTATGCTATGTCAGACCAGTTCTGAAGTCAACAGGGCTGAGGGCTGGGGAAGGCAGGAAGGGTTCTGAAGGGCCCAGGGAGCCCTGTCATCTGTGGAATTGAAACACCTGGAATATTCATTTGGAAGACACCATGGGAGCTCTCTGGCCCCTTTGTGTATTCACGGCCAGGTCTTTCCCCATGAGAGTTCTGCCCAGTGTTCCTACAGTACTGCACCCCTCTGTGCTGATGACAGGACACACGCCCCAACACTAGACAGCAGTGCTGTCAAGCCTGTCTCTTCTCAGCCTTCGTGTTTCTGAATTTTCCTTGTGTCAGGTGTCAATCTCCAGCTCAGATCTCTTGCTGCCTCCATTCCCTGACATGTTCACCACTCCAAGAGCGTTTCTCAGTCTGGGATCCAGCTGCATTTGAAGCTCATTTCTGATTGCTTGGCGACATGCCAGCAACATGCAAACACCTCTGGCTCATCCCCATGCTGTTCACTGTCCCCATGTCACTGTTCATGCCCACCCCTATATTGACACACAACCATTCAATCCCCTACTTCTATGGTGCTAATCAGGCTTCAAGGACCAATCACATTCCCCCCAGCTGTGATGCTGTGACTCTGTGAAGAGGTTCCCCAGGGCTGAGGACCTCAGCAACCAGGCCCATAAGGAAACACTTTAAATCTTGCAAGATTTCTGTCTCTCCAGACGATAAAATATAGATCAGAAGAGCCAGGACATATATGCAGGGCCCCTTACCTCAGGGCTCTGCAATAAGGGACATTGCACCGCCCGTGGGCCTTGTGCTACGCCTTGGGCTGGGGTACTTCTCAGCAGCCCACCTTCCAAGCTTTGCAAAACAAGGACATCTGTGTTGAGCTCCCTCACTAACAATACCAGGCAAAGGGGACAAGGGCTTGGTGAGCAACTGACGAGAAGAGAAATGTGTCATGGACAGAGATCCAAGAGACCAGTTTGCCTCGTGGCCCTTTGGAAGCTGCTTAGCACCTAATCATACAAGGGCCAGTTCATGTGTCCGTTGTGACTGAAACGTGCCTGGCCCAGGTCAGAGCTCAGGGAGAGTACAGACTGCCTCTAAAGCCACAGTTACATTCACTCGACCATATTTGTCCTGAGTCCTGGCACAGATGTTTCCCAGATCACCTTTGCCCAAGTGTCCCCTGGAAGCCTCTGGAAACTCCTTCGAAGTTCCTCTGGAAAGCCTGACTCCTACAAGCCGCCTTGCACCCTCCTCCTACAACACCCCTGCCTTCAGCACCTGTCCCTGTTGTGCCTCTACCATATAGCTGCACCATGGCTGACACGAGGCTGTGGAAGCCAAGGACACAGCCTCTGCTCACCATCACCCACAGGATGGATGACTGCGCTGTGTGGTCACTTTATTTTCTCACTGTCTTAGGAAGCACTCAGTTCCTCTTTGTGTCTCCTCAGACTTTGCATGCACTTTAAAGGCAAGGAGGCTGGGACAGGGCTTGCCAGAGCAGGCTGCTCCCATGGCTTCCCAAGGGCTTACCTCAACCGCCCAGACTGATGGCAGTAACTGATACATGAAATACCTTGTTGGGATTTGAATCAGAGAGCTCATTCCCACGGCCTTGAGAAGCACAGTGCAGGTGAGTGAGCCCTGGAACCACCCCCAGCCTTGGTGCAGTGGGATTTCTCCTGCAGGCACCTGATCCCCTTCAGCTGGGTGTGTGATCAGGGAAACGATCCCCTTCGGCTGGTATGAGAAAGGGAAACCCAAGCTGAGTTTTGTCTGGCCACCCTGAGCTCCACCAAGGTCTTGAGCAGAGACCAAGTTCCCCCTCTAGGGAGGAGGGGTCAGGAGCGGCTGTTGTAGGAATCGGGCACATTAGGTCTCTGGCAAAGTGTGTGATGATGACTTTACTAGAATGCTCCCAAGCACCCCCAACTCAATCACATTTGCCTTGTCAAGAGTGCAGAGTGACCCAAGAAGGACACCACCAAGATTAGGAGTCATAGAAATAAATGCCCTGATCTGGCAGGATGGCAGGGCCCTGGAGGGGACTGGGACAAACTGCACAGCTGCCCTGGAACTGCAGCACAGCTCGGTTCAGTTTGGAGGATAGTTACCAAGTGGAAATTGGCAGCTGGTGCTGCCAAATTTTTCTGTTTTTTTTTTCTTAGAGAGGCTGAATAATCTGACTTCTTTTATATAAAATCTCCCAATAGAAAAATATTGACCTTATTAAAGGAAATAAGAGGTCTGTTCATCAGTTTGATCAAAAAAAATCCATCTGCTCTGCTGGACTGGTTAGGTAGAGCTCAAGGTACAAGTCCATGTGGTCTGTGCCTGGCAGGTGGCTCGTGTCCCACAAGGACCTGGACTGTGAGTCAACCAGCCACAGACTGAATTCTGGCACTGCTGCTTACTTAGCACTAGATGGGTTTGACCAGGGATAATGAAGCACTTTAAGCTCAGAGAGTTCCTTGGCAAAACCAACCAGCAGTTGTGACACTGGGGCAAACAGGTTTCTGTAGCACTAAATCCAAGGCCTGGCACCCAGGAGGCTTAGGGGACAGTAGTAAGGGTTGGGGGGGGGGTTGCTCTCTTTTACTTCCTCCTGGGGAGTTTTCTGTGTCAGCAGGAAGGTAATGATGGGCAGTAGTGATGAGCACTGATGAGCAGTGAACGAGCTCTCCGATTTGAACTAGAAACTTGCTTGAGAGGCTGATTTGTCCGCTCACTCATACTGGACAAAGATCAGAAAGGTGAGCTGCCTGACGGTGCTGCAGAAGGGACCCAGGATGAGGCTTGCTTGGAAAGCAAGGAGGGCAAGTTCTCACAGCAGGTGCATCCCTCTCTATGATTCACTCTCAAAACTGATAACTACAGTGGAAACCTCTGTGTGGGGCAGGTCACCTTACCTAGAGAGATGGGATGGGAACATGCCCTCAGATTGGACCCCCACAATACAGAAAGCGGAATGTGATGGGGATGATGCTTGATTGGATGCCTGCTGTAAGCCAGGCTGCGTGCAAGCAGGGTAATCACTGATACCTCCTCCACCACATAGGCACAGTGCTGCCCTCTGAGCACCTATTATGTGTCCCTTTGTCTCCAAATCAGCCTTGGGCTCTGACACAACTCTCACATGTAGATGAAGAAATGACAGCTGGGAGATGACTCACTTAGGGTTACATAGACAGAGCTGGGATTTGAACCCAGGTCTGCTTAAACTAAGAACCCAGTTTCTAACACACACACACACACACACACACACACACAAACATTCCTGAGATCCCACAAGCACTGAGTAAATGCAGAGGGTCTTCATAGTTGCTAAACAAGTGTGACAGCATGAAGTCTATCTCATGTCGAGCTACACACTCTGGGAAGGGACAATCATTGTTTGGGTTTCTGTTGGGTCCAAGGCAATTGCCATGTGTCTTCTCGCCTCATGGAATAAGATATAGGCAGGATTGTTTTTGCTGAACCCATGAAGAACCCAAAGTTCTTAACAGGTAAGCAAATTACCCATGCCTGTGTAGGGCGTGGCAAGTGGCAGAAGAACAGTTCAGGCTCTAGTTAATCTGCTTTGTAGCCTAGCCTCTTTCCTCCCCTTTGTTTCTACCCATACCCCCTCTCTCTTTTAGTTCCTCCTTAGTAACAATTGTCAAGTAAATGTTGTTCCATTTAATGTTCAAATTCATAGCTTCCACTGCATGTCATGAGTCTTTTGCGAAAGATTCTCAGTTTGCTGTATCATTAAACCATTTCCAAAAGTTACAGTCCTCAGGCATGGTACACACAAAGCCACGATTGTGATCAGGTGAGATCTTTCCCCTTAACACAAGAAGGGGCTTGTCTGGCTTCCTTTTAATAGTTGCTTTCGTAGCTAGTAATCAAGTGCATCTATCATGGCTCTGTCTTGCTTTCTGTGCCACTTGCCTGTCCAGGAAACTGTCATGTTTATGAAGTGGATGACTAGGTGGACCCTTAAGGGAAAGCATCTCTGTCTGAAGAAAGGGCAATGCCATTAGTGTATTCATTGACTAAAGCCTTGGTGCCACAAGCTGGGCTCCGCAGCTGAACATATCCAAGGGTATGAGGTTTTCAGGATAGGTACCTGTTTCTGTTGGAGATGCTAGCCTTCGTTCCATGTCTCCTTTACACGCCAGAGACTCAGGCCGAGACCCCATGTCAGAATCTAGCAGGGGGAAAAAAAAACCATAGAGCAGTTGTGATGCTAGTAAGGAAAGGTGGTACAGGTGTGTGCAGTCTCATGGGTTCCCACACCAGGTCCCCAGGACAAGATCTGGAATAGATCTTGTGGCACAGGGCTGCACTCCATGGGCTTTTACGGACCATTTGCCCACCTCCCAGTGACAGAACTGTTGTGCACGATATTGAAACTATTAACATCTTCAAATTCTTTTGGAGGAAATAGAATGTTAATATATGTTAGTATTTATAACACCTGTGAAGATACAGAGTAAAATTCCCAAGGGACTCGGAAAAGTGCAGATTCAGAGAACTAAAATAATTTGTCCCAGACCATTCAGATGGTCAATAGTCCAGCTGGCATTTGGAAAGATAAAAATAAATAAACAAAACATCCAAATAAGGGAGAGCTTGCCAAGAAAGACACATAAGCCTGGGGGAGAAGAGGGTCTCAGGCACGACTTCCAGACACTGCATTCTGCGAGGTCAATGTCTCAGAGAGAGCTAACTCCTTCTTCATTTAATAGGTCATGCTTTGCCATCAGAGATTTCTGATAACTGGCAAGCACTGGACTTCGGGCACACTGCAGGGCCAGGGTCTCACTCAGAATTTTCTGGTCCCATAGCATTTCACTTAGCCTAGGCAAGGCTCAGTCTTCTTGACTTTAAATGAATAAAATGTCTCTCCACTTGCAGGCTTGTCTAGCAGGTCTGAGTAAATGAGAATCTTAATGAAGATTCTTAATATATTGTTTTAAATCAAAAGCCATGGCACGTACTCTTTTCTTTCCCTCCTCCCTGCCCTTTCTGCTTCATCCTTCTTCCTCCAGTCCTCTTCATTATTATCTTACCATTGACACCAGCGACATTAATAAGAATTTATTATGTATTTGCAGTGGGCTAAGTACTTTACATGCGGTACTGGCTCAATGCTCATATGTACTTTTTAATTTCCATTAGACATCTGGGCTTGCAGGGACTAATTGACAGTATCAAAGCCACACCAGTGGTTAAGTGAGGCAATGAAGATTCACACCCAGTTGCTGTAATTCCACCCGAAATCTGTACTCGACAGTCTTTCACTTCAAGTGAAGAGTGTGTATGGAAACAGGCAAGAGAGGGACTTTTTCCATGTCTCTCACCCAGTACTTGTGACCATGAAGCATGACAGCTCACTGCCTCGTTGCTCAGATTGGAACTCTTGGAAGTTCATGTCCCACTTTCATTCAACCCTCTCCTAACTGCCTTTCATTGTTTCTGAGTCTGAGTAGGTACTCAACCAATGTTCAAAATTCAGAGGAGGAAAACAGAAGGGAAGTGCCACATGTGTACTCTACCCTGCCCTCCACATGCACCAGATGGCCATGGCAGCACCACCTGCCTGGGCTCTGATCCTACAACTGGGGACCCAGGGAAGAGGTCCATGGGACTCAGTGCCCTGTGAGGGAGGGGCACCAAGTGGCCATTTACAATGGCCTCTAAGCTCCCATCCTGGTAACAGAGGAAGCTTGTGGTCAATAAATTTGATCTCCCCAGAACCCACTGCTTCTCCCTCCACCCTTTCTTGTCCCTTTTGCTTTCAGACTTTTACATCTTATCTGATGAGGAATTAAGATCCTTGTTTACTACAGAAAATGTTCTTTTGGAAAGCACGCTTCTTCAAGTTCCCTGTGGGAGCACGTTACCCTTAACTGAGAGGGGCTGGACGTTCATCTGTTATCTCTGCCCCTTCAATCATGGAGCTCACCTTTCCAGAGATAAATCTGCTGAAAATGGATGATGGTGTCTTGAGCTCCTTCCAGGGCTGTCAGACCTGCAAAAGAAAATGTTAATTTTCAAGAACATGCGTACTTTCACCCATTGGTCACATGCCCTTGCCAAGTGCCCTTTCTTCCCCCATCTGGCTCCTTTTAGGCTTGAGAACTCGGTTTCCCATACAAACCACAGCCCAGAAGCTTCTTGAAGCTCTGTTACAACTCGATGGTATAAATTCAGATCTTTCAGATTTTGAATGTCACATTTAAGGCACCAAAGAGTTTATTTTGATGGTGAACCTGGGACAAGAGGATCACTGAAGGAACTAGAAACTGGCTTAAAGAAAACAAAGCTTCTGGGAGACTTCAGAAATCTTTTTCCACATCACATAATTCCTCTGGACTCTTGCTTTCCCAGCCAATTGGGTTTTGAGAACCTCTGTGGGAGAGGTTCTCAGGCTACCTGCTAGAGACCTGGGTCTGTGGTATGCTCCCCAGACCCCAGCTATCAGCTGCTGTCATGATGTAGCCAACTATTAAAACTGCTAAATTCTCCTTTTGGTAGTTTTAGTGTCCACGGATATGACCATAGATAAAGTTGTGCTTGTCACATTCCCTCATAGTCCAGTCCTCAATTCCTGCCAACCTCCCCTGTAACATTGGAAGCTAAGAAAAGGACTCAGAAAATTGTAGGGTACAGGGACAAACATTCATTGCAGGACACAGCTGGCTGGCAATCTGAAGCCACAAGAAAAGACCAACTTTTTCTTTCATGTGAGACTTCATCATGCATAAAGAGCCATTATTATAGTTCCAGCACTATAATCAGCGAGTTTAGCACAGCACATACTGCATACCTCACTATCATGTTATAAAGCAAGATCCCCCAGGTTCCAGCTAGAGAAATCAGGTCAAGAGGGGTTAATGCCTCAACTGAGTCTGTTTTGTTTGGCTCCATATCCCATGTTCTTAACCATCATACAACGGGAAGAATAATGCATTTTATAATTTTCTCCAACCATATTGGTGAAAAAATGTACAAGTTCTTGTGTTTCAAGTGACACACAGAGAACTGCATGGAAAACCCAGCTGGTGAAGTGGTGATTCCTCCACACACAAGCCTGACCCTACACCATGCCATGAGGGTGAACCAAAAATGCTGAGCTCTACCTAGACTGAATGATGCCAGAACTTCCCATCCTGCCCTAGATGAGATCATGTATTTCCTTAAGGTCTCACACACACTCCTCTGACAGTCTTCTTCAGAGGATGGAAGTCACTTAGAAAATTAAGGAAGTGAAAACCTATGACATCTGGATGACCCAGACTTGAATCTCTGAAATTCTGACACTTCTACATTACAGAGGAGGCAGCACCATACAGTCCCACAGCACCAATGCAGAGCAGGCAGCCACCTGCTCAGTTTCCGTTCTACTTTCACTGTTCCCTCACCATGTCATCATTTGCACATTACCAAGGGCTGGCCATGGGGCTCTGCACCTGGTCACAGCGCAGCCAGAGAATTTTCCTATTATTGTTAAAATCTTCTTATGCTCACATTGAATGTATTAAGTCCTCCCAGACATAGATATATAAGAATATATCTATACGAACATGTAGATACACACACATATACCTGCAATACAGATGTAAAGTTTTGAAAATACATTAGACCACGCACTAGAACTCTTATTCAACATTTTGGAGCAGGTGAAAGCAAGAGTTTATCTTTAGGGAGGTTCTACTGCTTCCAGGTCTGTTGCTTTGCAAGAGCAATGATCCTTCATGGAATTGCAAGAGGAGGGGATCTCCAGGTGTCAGCAGCCTCCTTCTGACTTTGGTAAGCTGATGGGTCTTTTACATGTCTGAACGTGCATGTGCACACTGCTGTACATGTTCCTAGTGGAGAACTGCAGGTTCTTCCATCACCCAGGGAAAGGTGGCAGCACCACACAGAGGCACGCAGGTTTGGGGTGGTGTTTCTGACCCAGAATGCACAGCAAGGAACGGAGCCTTTCCTTACACTTTGGGTATGGCCAGGTAATGGAGGCATGTGTCTTCCAGCCTGAGAAAAACAGTGAGTCCACTGCACCTTTCTGTTCTGTGCTGTGCAATACAATTCAGCCAATGGAATTTAGTTGAGTCCAGCATACATGCGGTGAGTCCCTTGGGAGATCCAGAAGGCCTCCCTAACCAGTATCAGTGATCATTGGCGAGTGTGATTTTTAAAATGACTGTGAAGTCTCTTATGGAAACTACAAGGCTGAAGTCAAAGGCAGATTTATAAAGCAGAGAGGTGCCCCAGATCCCACCTTTTCATGGAGAATAGAAGTTAACCGCTGAAGACAAGTGCAGATCCAGGGGTGGCACCAGAGGAAGCCACAGGAACACACTTGACTAACTCATCTTCGTCTGCCACTTCCTGGTCTTTCCACAAGCCGCCTTCTGTTTGTTTCCTTTAGCTGACCTGCTTTTTGTCACAAGGACTTGTTTCAGCTTAGAACTAGGAGGGATGGAGAAGTGATTATTATTTATTTCATGGTCTGAGAGCCTCCTGCCTGCTTCTGTGCCCAAGAAGCCTGTCTCCCTCAGCCTTAGGCTTGGTACCAGCCTCCACATTACTGCGATAGGCCTCCTCACTGCCTGGAACCCCAGTTCCTTTTCACTTGATTGATGTCTGCACTCGCTCTTTATAAGGCAGGTGCTATGTTCTTGTCTGAAGGCCTCCCTGTGTGCTCTGGCCCTCCCGTGGATTCTCACAGCCCCCACAGGACACCTCTGTCTTTCTCTTCACACCTGACAGTCATCACCGGCTCCCTGAATGTGCTAGAAATTTCCTGAGAGTAGGGACTGGGCCTTACTCCTCCTTCTGTCTTCCACCCCAGCACGATCCTTGGTACAGGCCTAGAGTTCAGTACAGATATGAATACAATGAAGAATGAATAATGGAAACCAGAGCCCACCAAGTAAATGCAGGGCTTATCCTCCCAACAAAAGAAACCAAGTCACCAAATGAGTCCACCTGCATTCAACTTCATTCTATTCCCCAAAACTTTGCTAGCACAGTCTAGAAGCAATACAGAACTTGGCAGACATCATCTGTCTCCTATGATGGAAGAACAGTAGTGATGGCCCAGGCATCTCTCCTATTCCCTCCACACAGGCTGCCCGCACAGCCGATGGCCCTGCAGTCAAGCTTACAGGAACATGTACACACTGAGAGCTGTGTGAGGAGCCTGATCCTTAACACTCACGGGTGCCAGGTGCTCCTGGTTGATTTTGATGCACTCTGCAGAGACGGCACACTCACGCTACAGTTGGTTTTCATCCACACCCTGAGACTGGGCAGGATCCTAAATTGGAAAAAGTCCAGGAGTGTTTTGGGATGTTGAGAGACTTCTCTCAAGGAGCCCCACACTCCACACAGGATTCACAACACAGAAATTTTCTTTACTCCCAACAAGCACCATGGACTTGGCTCCTCAGCATAATGAATGTCAGCCATGGGTAGTGCTTGGCCAAATTAGTGGCATTCAGGATGAAAGCTTGGCTGGTGGAGTTTCAGCTCCAAGGCGACCCATGAATGAAGGGAGCATGATGGCCTCCCAAGGCCAGTATCCTTGGCTTCATTCCAGAACCAGCCACCAAGCCAGCGAGTTCTTCACCAGAGTGAGTTTGCACTATGGAGTTTGTCTTAAACAATCCTGACAATAAAGGTGCCCTGGAGACCCCTAGAGGGACAGGAACAGGGCCCTCCTTGGCTCACTGAAGAGGTGACATGTGGTGTGAGGATTTCTGTGCCTGTTTGCTAGTCACGGCCCCGTGGTCCACTGGAAGACTACAGGGGAAGAGCTCTTGGGTGATCCAAGATTACAACTGCCAAGAACAAGCTAACTGTCCTGGACCTCCACTGAAGTTTAGGAGGGTTCAAAACAGTTCCTGAGCTCTGGGGGACCTCCAGAGCCTGGAAGCGGGATGTGACGATGATAGTCTCCTAAGGTTCTGTCATCAAAGGGTGGGTCACCTACTCAACGGCACTCCTCCCCCACCAAGGCCATCTGTTCACTTGTCTCCTCTCCTCCACGGTGAGTTCCCCCACCAGGAGTTGAGTCCAGCAGGAAGCTGGAGCTGAAGAAAAGCTGTGCTCCTCATATGCCAACAGTCCTGAGAAAGCCCCTGGTCCCGTGAGTCTCACTCTGCCTCTCCAGGTTTTAACTGAGATAACACTTGCACACAAGGAGCTGCTTGTCCTTGTAACTTTTTCTGGGGAACTACACAGAGCCAGAGTCTGCCTTGGCCATGGCAGCAGGCTGGCTGTGCAGCGTATTGGTGATCCTTCCAGCTATCCCAACTACACACTGGAGAGCGAGAACGTCTGGTGGAGGAATTCTCCTGATTCTAGGATTTGCTCAGATTCACGGGGTCAAGCACAGTGTCCTCAGGACTCACCATTTAGTGATTGTTTTCTGCCAATGACCCCAAATTTCTATTTGTATCCCTTTTCTATAAAAAAAAATTCTCCTGACTCTGTCTCAGTGTTAGATCTGAATTAGGATGCAATAAAAAGTACCAAACACACAAAAGGATGCAATCCATGAAAGCTGAGGCAAATTACCAGCAGGTAATTTTTAAGGCCCCTGTCCTAAGGTGTCCAGGAGACATCTAACCTAGATGCATCTGCTTGCAATGAGAATCACAGCTGCACTCTCTCTCCATCCAGCCCCTGGCATCCCAGCACAAAGGCAGACCTAGCACACCACAGCTTCCTCCACGGGGCACATCAGGCTGAGCCTCGCAACTGACTGTTAGATTCAGAGGTTTTCTGAACCTAAGTAATTTTTTTTTCCTATCAATTTTGAACTTTTACAGGTTTCAGAGGAAATGTAATTTGCCTGGTTTCCATTCATTTGCACTTAAAGATATCGTCAGGACCCTGCTACAAGAAATCCCATAGCTTGCTACATCGTTTATCTCTCAAACAGGAAGCTAGATCTTGCCAGAACCACATAGCTGAAAATGCCCAGAGATGTTCCTTGGAAATGTAGGAGGTGCAGAGCCAGAATGGATTTCTGTCTTAAGATTACACATCACCCTGGCACAAAGGGGAAGCAGAAACCCAGATTTACAGCTGGCACTTCTTGATGCTGGCAGCAAGACAAAGCACAGCCTGAAAGTGCTATGGTTTCTGATTCCTGATCACATAAATGAGTGTGTGTGTGTGTGTGTGTGTGTGTGTGTGTGTGTGTGTGTGTGTTGTGGGATGGCTTGTTTGCCTTTATCTTTGCTGCAGGCTGGTGTCAGACATCAACCCTCAACTCCTGTGGGACAAATGACTTGGATGGGGCTTAGGGACACTAACATGGGCAAAAAGGAGACCTGCTATACTCAATGAAGTGAACTTCTGTTGTCCCTGTCCACTTCTGCATCTTGGAGTTCTTTGTGAGTAGAAGCCTTCCATCTCCCTTGTTTTCTAGTACCTAGCCTGGTGCTTCAGGTCAGGAGCGATGCAGAGTGGGTACAAGGGCCATGGCCACTCTGCCTCCAGCTCACCTGCTCTGTGGCTGCTCACACGCACACCCCCACTCAGCAGTTCGCATCTGATCCCACAGCCTCCTTGAGCCTGTCATCCTCTTCTCACCACAGCCTTTAAAAAATACTAGTAGCTATGTTCCTGGCCTGGAAAAACAGCATGGTATTAGTGATATCCATCTCAGCAGCCAAGGCCACCTGTTGTTTATCCTGGTTTGGCTTTTGGTCTGTGCCCATGCCTTGAGAACACAGAAAAAAATAAAATCAAGGAAAGAAAATCCTTGAGGTTGAACATATTGTTAACTCACATCTTGTGCTGAACACAGCAGACCCCATTTAGCAGAAACTGTGTTATTTGCTGATCCAAAGGCAACGGCAACTCAGATGTACTCCACCTTCCTGGTAACTTGCAGGGGGCCTTGGTAGCAGAGGGCAGCACTGAGAGGTGTGAAATGGCGCTCCGGTCTACAGCTCCGTCCCTGGGCGGAAGGCCGGAGAGCCAAATGCGGCACTTCATGCAGAAATTGCTTCTTGGTGTATGTTTTGTCACAGCTGTGTGGAATTCACTGTTGATGGGTAGAGCTGTGATCAAGTCGATTACTGCCCCACGTGATCAGGACAGCCGAGATGGCAGCTGGGAGTGTTGTGTACTATGCACTAGGGAGACTGGCATGCTCTCTCTGAATTCATGGTACTCTGTCAGACTGTAATTTTTTACAACCGATAATCGATACAACAAAAGTTTCTAAGTTCAGCCTATCTCTGAATTACTCTTTTTCAATTTAAATTGCTGTGAAAGCGATATATAAACTCAAGAAACCAGACTTGGAGTTCTGATGTTAGGTTTTTACCTGGACTAGCCATGATCCTTTCCTGTCCAGCCAGCCCTGCAGTCATAAAGGGGGCAACTGATGCCTTACAGCGTTCTGTGCTGATCAGCGAGGACATGGAGTCGGGTAGATGAACTTCCAACAGCTTGTTCAACTTGCAGTGAGTTTACTGGGCGGTAGCTCCACTGTAATTTGAGGAGCATCTGTCAAAGCTAACTCTGCATTGGCTAGATCACCTGCCAAGATGGACTTTGACATACCAGCAAGCTCATGAACACAGGCCAACCATACCTCAAAGTCCTGCTAACTGCCTCTGATGGATATGCTGTTAAGAGGAGAGGGACCAGAAATTCAGAAAACATTTCATGCTGCAGTCCAGAGAGTATGCCAGTGCTCGATTTGCTGATTTAGGAAAGGGCCTTTAGATCCTGGGGGTCTGCAGAAAGCACCTTCACCCAGTTCTAGAGCTCTGGGTCTTAGAACTCAGTTCCAGGAATTTTAAATCTGAACATTGCTCCCTAATCTCTAGCATCTACCGCATCCCTGCCTTGCTCTAGGCACCATTTGTCCTGCTCCACACGCATTCCTCCTTTAATCTTCCAAGTTCTCAAAGAGCTGGGTACCACATAATCCTCATTTGGTAAACTAGAATTTTAAGACCCAACAATGAGTAAGCACTCACACTGGGACTGGAATCTTGGAGTCTGATTCCAGAGACTACATTTTTGACCACCATCTATCTGTTTACTATCTATGAGGCTGGCCCTCAACCAACCGTGTGAGAAAAAGGGTTTATCTGTCTTGTTCCTGGCCTCACCCCTTACTCCTCTAATCCATTCCATGCCATTTCCTTCAGTTTCTCATATCCTGGAATCCTCATTCCTGTTTCCCTCCAACCACTATCTGCTGTTAGGAACGGTTATCTACCAGCCATTCACAATTTACTAAGAATTTAAGTAATTCCCACCTTGCTCCCACTCCCAAGATTCAATTATGCTTAAACTCTGGCCTCTTCTTGAGGAAAAGAATGATATGTACCTGTTGCTCTCAGTTGGAGTTGGCCTCCTCATTGGTCCATAATAGAAGCAATCTCCAATTTGGAAATACCAAGAATACCTCTCAGACAGTCTGAAATCCTCATTGCAGAACACATGCTGACAACACACTGAGAAAATCCCAAACCTTCCGGTGCCATCGTGTGGTAATCCCCTCCCAGGGAGGCAGACAAGGGCACATTCCTCACTGCTTGGGCACACACCACACATATGCTCTGGGTTAAGCAACTCTGGATTTATCACCCATAAATATCTCAGATGTCTTCCTTGCCATGCATTTTTTCTCGATGTAATTGATACCATATGTTTACCAGTCATCATATAAATACTCTATTTGATTTTACTTACCCCCAAAGCAACTACCTAAGCTCCATGGAATTCCACCGAATTCAGCAATATTTTTTCTGAGGCTTTGGTGACTGCTCCACAGACACCGTGTTTTCTATGCCAGGTTTTATGCTCTGGGTTGCAAATCCAGACATTAATGAGACAGAGTCCAGTTCTCAAAACAGCACAGGGCAAAGATAACGTTAACAGATGATGGAAATGCAGGCATCTCAGGCACTCCTTAAACTCCTCTCAGATGTTAGCTGCAAGTGCCAGCAAAGACAAGCAGCTCTAAACACATCTGCTCTGAAGCCATAATGTCAGATCTCAACTAGCCTCTTGACAGAGCCTTGGGAAGCTGCATAAGTCTTAGCTTCTTGGGCTGCACAAGGGGAAGAATGGCAGTAGCAGTGTCTCCCTTCAAGTGTTCTGTTGAGGCTAGGCCAAGGCTACCAGATGCTGCCTGACTTGGCAGATGCTGTGTGTGACATTCCCATGAGACCCACTTTTGTTTCTACTTTTCTTATCATTTTCTCAATCCTTCAAGAAAGGCAAAACATCACCCCCATTTTACAGACAAGCACATAAAGCATGTAAGTGTAGGGAGACTCAGTGACTTGCACGGATTCACATGGTCACGTCCAATTCTGGACTTCCACATCCTGGGCCTACTCCAAAGACAGATATTGTGCAGTGCCTATCACACTGTCTGTCAACAGAATTCAAGGGGCACAAGGCCTGTGCCAGGGCAGAAAGCAATGGGCTCTGCAGGCAGTAAGGGAGGGACTGTAGTGGAGGTGACACTGAACACTGCAGTCAGAACCCTGAGAGTGACAGTACATGGAGAAGTGGGTCAGAGCTTCCCCGGGAGGCAGAAGAGCATTTCTGGTCCTTGGGGGATGCAACAAACCCATAGGCTCCACTCAATAGTACTCCTTTGACTCTCTCACTTCTAGGTGTGCAGCCACAAGGGCAGAGCAGAAGCACAATACTTCATTCTGAGTCTATATGCTGGCAGACAGAGAAGAAAAGAAATGAGAGGACAGATGGCTCCTCCCAACCACACACACCGGAAATGGAAGAGGAGATGGAGCAGCTGCTCTCTGCTCTCAGCATAACTTGGATTCTTGATCCTAGAAGGAAACTTGCAAATCATCAGAGTCATCAACCTTAGCTGACACAAGCATCATCCAGACCGCTTGTTCAAACACAGATGACTGGGTCCACCCTGCACATGTGGAGTGGGGCCAGCGCCTGGTGATGCAGACCCTATGGTCCTAACCCGCAGAGCTCTGTTCAGCACAGAGCAGGAAGCTGTTTTTTGATGATGATATGTTCTGGGAGTGGCAGGGCAGGGTTGTAGAAGACAGAAAGATTCCTCTAGCACTGACCACCCATCTTTGAACTGAGGGCATGGAATGATAATGGCAGCACTAATGCTTACAAGATGGCAAAAAGCAAGATCAGAGAAAGAAGGGGAAGGAGAAAACTGTTTACTCCTGCTAATTGGGCAACAGAACGAGGATCACAGCTCCTTTCCTCTGTAATGCAGTTGGTACCACTTAGTATTTTTTAACTCACACAGGTGAACATACCATAGGTAAGGGGCATTGGTTAGGTGGGCAGAATGTATTTGGGATCCAATCCCCCCTTTCTTGTATTGACACATTCTGCACCTGAATTTGTAATTCCTGCCACTATGAAGCAGAGCACATTTCCTGACTTCAGCCTCTGATTTTTCCGCATAGAATGTGGCAGGCGTGGCTGTGTGTCAGGCCTTGGCTGGACCCTGAGCGGCCTTGCTCTTCCTTGCTCTAGCCTGCTTCTGCCACCTACAGGACAGGAGCATGTCCACCCCCAGGAGGAGGCCAGAGGCAGGGTTAGCCCCTCCCAGCCAAGTCCAGACCCAACCCAGTCAGTCAGTTGCCAGTTCCCTAGCCTGGTGAGGGAACCAGATGAGGCCAGTGTGCCCACCAGCTGCCATCCTGCCTCTAGCAGCCTGCAGTCGTGGGTGCTAACATCAACACTTCCAATGCAATGCTGCCCACACGCTGGGGGTTTCCCATGTAGTTTCCAGTTCGGTTTTCTTTTCAGAAGTATATATTCCTGGGAGCACGGGGAGGGCTCATAGGAAAGTAGCAGAGGGGCCTTGCTGGTTGAAAGAAACATTCAGAAAGAGTGTAGGCCAATGGTGGAGACTTACTCATGCTGAACTCCTGGTCTCCCAACCGCAGTGTCAGCTCGTGGCGCCCACGGCCATCTATCACACCTGGACACGTGGTATTGACCTGGGCTTCAGAGCTGTCTCTCCAATCTTTGACATTGCAGAGCAGGACATCAGGGGAGTTCAGCAACCCGCAGATGATGGGACCTGCTGGGCCACAAGAAAGAGAGGGGGGAGGTTGACACACTGGACAGACATTGCTGGGTCCAAGCAACAAGCACTGTGGAGCAGACACTGACACTGGGCCTATTTCCCGTGCTGCTCATCCTCCCAGCAGTCCTGCTGGTGTCCTATAGGCACATTCCCAAGCGGGGGACAGGAATCAAGCCTGAGGAGCTGTCCCCTCCATCACAGCCTCCTCTTCATTGGATCAGTGTGTGGACAACACAGCTAGTACCCTGAGGTGTAACTGCCAAGATCTCCTCCTCTCAACACGGAGATCACTGCATGGCTTCAATGTAATGGACTGGTGCTGCTGTTTCACTCTCTGCCCTCACTTCTCTCTGATCCCAACTTGTGCCTGCTCCATGACCTCATCAGGAAATACACTCTGAAAAGACTCTAAAAAGGCCTTTACATTCAACATGGAGGAACATTAAAAACCAACACCTGTGAGACAGGCATTTTGCATAGTGGTTGTCACTTTGGATGCTTGCATCCCATACTGGAGTACCTATATTAAGATTCATCCAGTTCCAGCTTCCTGCTAATGCACACTGCAGGAGGTAGCTGGTGATGGTCCGAGAAGGTCTGCTCACCTGGGAGATCCAGGAGGAGTTCCTGGATCCTGCTTGTTTTAGGCATTTGGGGAGTTATGGTCTGCGCCTCATGACATAGGACACAAGCTCTGTGTGTGTGGATACATACAAGCAGAGGCCACATGCCCAAGGCCATACCAGGCCAAGACACTCTGAGATTTGTAGAGGCCTTCTTGTTCTTGTACTTGCATTGAATAACTCCCTGCTCTGAATTTTAAGAAGTAGTTTGAGCATTCCAATTTTATTTTAGCATCAGGTAAGATAGCCCTCCAAGCTACTAAAAGTCAAAAGTGGCTATAGTGGGCTAAAGCAATCCCAATGTTTCAGATGTCCACACTGTGCCAGACACTGGTAAATGCTTTAAACCTGTATGAATTCCCTCTGCTTCATGGACAATGACCTCTGCTTTCCTGATGAGGGAGGTGATCACGTCTCACATAACCCAGCAAATCTCCCAAATTGACATGGAATTACAAGTACATTATTTTATGTATCTCTTGGATAAACAAAGCTTTAAAGTAGTAGTTCATGCTCTGCCAAAAACACAGCAAAAAATGGAAATACAATATTTTGCAATTTGCTACTTCCTGCTCTTCATCCTCATTTCCTAACCAAATCCAGGAATACTATCAAATCTCTCTTTCACCCAGCTATCCCCAGAGCAGATGGCTCACAGATGTCGGGTCTGGGAGTTTGTTTGGTCTTTGTTGCCTCCACTGACTGTATTCGGATGGCAATCTTTTAAATAAAATAGCAACCGCAGCCACTGTTTGTTTCCTAAAATCAATCTCAGAAGGCGTCCAAGGCGCAGTTGCCAACTCATAGTGCTTAAGCTAATGCCATGACGGAGGATCTGGATATGCCACACCAGGGGTCAGAGTTCATGAGAAGCACTAACAATGGCGGTATTGCACGGGCAGGTTCAAGTCCTCTGATTGCTTCAGACTACCTCATTTTACAAGGAGAAATCAGAAGCACAGCTGCTGAGAGAGTGGCATGGCCAGCAGGCCATGGCGCCTCAGCAAGGTGCAGACGGACGCAGTAAGAGCCCCGTGGGAGCCCAGAGGAAGTCTGTGAGCGATGGTATGATCCTGGTGCAGCCAAAACCCAGAATAATGAAATTACACAAGGGCCAGAGAACATTATGTTCAGTGAAATAAACCAGGCACAGAGAAACGAATACTGTATGTTCTCACTTGAGGAAACTGAAAAACCAATCTCATAAAAAGTACAGAATAGAACGGTGGTTCCCAGAGGCTGGGAAGGGGTGGGAGGGAGAGTCGGGCAAGGATTAGCGCAGGGGACCAGAAGGCAGCCAGACAGAGGGAATGTGTGCTCTCGTTCTATAGCACGGTGGGACATGGGTCACTGACAGTTCACTGTGGGATTCACGACCACTAGAAGAGAAAGAGGTGGAAGATTCTGAACACAGAGAGGGATGAATGCTTCCAGGGTCACCCTGCTTGACCCCTGCCCAATGAGCACACAGTGGGTTATCACACTGCACCACAATGTGTACAGGCATGTAGAGAATCTCAGTTAATAACTGTAAATACAATCTTTTAGATGTTAGAAAAGTAGTGAGGTGTGTTTATCACTCCGCTCTCAGGACTCAGGAGAGAAGCCAAGCAGCTTGTCCTGCTGGTGCTGACATGTCAGGGAGCGCTCCCTGGGCCTGGAAGATGGGGGTCCATCAGAGCTGCAGGTCACAGCCAGCTTCATTACAGTCACGCCAGTTGCAGACGCCCTCTCCCCTAAAGATCCTCAACTTGCAGCACAGGCTCAAAAGCCTGGAGAATTCTCACTTAGTGAACCCCAGTGGGAACAAAGCCATCTGGGTTGGGGATTATAGTAAACAGGACAGTCTGGGTGAAAGGGGATAGGATGGAAATGGGAAGAGGAGCGGGGAGGAATCCACCAGGACACGAAGTGATTTTCCAGGCTGTAGCAAAGGATGCTGCAGGATTCTCTTCCTCATTGTTTGTAGACCCAGCCAAGGCTTTCTAAGTAGAATTCCAAATTCACCCCCTGGCCCAGACTAGGAACAACACCCCCCAGAGTGTGCCTTGAAGGAGATTTGCTTTCACACTGGGAGAGGGTCCCTCAGCTCTGTATAAGGCACAGATCACAGGTCACACTTGGTGGGCAAAACAAGCAAGCTGCCGGCCAGAAATGCCACAAAGAAAAAGGATTTTGTGAGCCAAGTGCTCCATGGAACAAAACCACTCCTCCATAGATGCTGCTGTGGAAAATTAACTCAGTCTTTCCAGCCTGAAAAATCACAGGGTCTGCTGAGTAGCCAAGCATCTGGGGAACCCATGACATCCCGAGAAAGTGCAGTTAGTTTAATGAAGACATGTGAGGTGTGCATTCGGTGTACCCAAATACAGATGTGCACAGACAGAGACCCAAACATGTATGTGAAATATGTGACCCATGTCTAAACACTAGCAGGAATACATACCACATGATCACAGGGCAGAAAACCTAGATGGAACGTGAGGCACCAACTCTCCCATCTGAGAGCCACCACTGACCACTGTGGTTAGCTGGAGCATGCTCAGTAATTCTTTGCCTCGCCTCTGAGTAGCATTCAAGACTGTGGACAGCTTCCCTCATTGCCCAGCCTTCTTCCTCCATGGGTTCCAGCAGACTCTGCCCTCCCATGGCTCTTGCTCCTGTCTGACCTGATCCTCCCTACAAGGCCATCATGGTCTCCCTTTTTGTTGTCTTCCCTTTGGACCCTCAGCTCCTCTAGACCTAAACCCGGTGCCACAGATGGTGCTGGAGACCCTAACATTTCCTTCTCACTCTCAGACATCCCTCTTGTCTCTAGATTTTGGCACGCAAAGACGTGAACTACATGTTATAGACTCATGTGATTCATGACCTTTGTGAACCTCCATTTCCCATTAGCCAATTGACATCTGTTTTCTTCCACACTATCCAACTGGGTTAACTAGCCAGATACCTGAGAACAATCTCTGGCAAGTTTCTATCCTCAGCCATCATTCACTTAAAGCCTTGCTGAATCTCACTCCTGAAAAGCTGCATTTCTGCTACCATAGCTCCTGTTCTCACCCAGACTCCCACGGGAGCTCTTCACTGACCTCTCCTCACCTGTTGTAACCCCCAGACATCACCTCTGCACACACCAGCCACAGTTCTGGTTCCACAACTGCTCAAGACACTTCATTCCTTAAGGAGTTCTGAGAAGTCCCAGGGTCCTCCCCACGCAGAAGACAGTGAGTGAAATATGCAAGGTTCTAAGGATCTGGCCCCTCCTGTCTTGCTCTCCTGCTCCTTTCGAAAGCCAAGGCTCATGTCCCACCCTGCTCCAGCTTCTTCATGGCTCTTCTGATTTTAACAGGCCCTTGATACCTCTGCTCCCCTTTTCTCTTCACCACATAGGAACTATGCACTGTTCAAGACTTAAGGCAGCCTTCCGTTACCTCTCTGGCAACGACATCACTCAGAAAACAGAACTCTTAACACCTCGCTTGAGTTTAGTGAGGAGGAATAAGCCCGTGGACCATGTGATGTGGCGAGCACTGTGTGTGGCATGTGAAAAGTTAGTTGGGGCTTGTTCCTGAGTTGGTGCACATTGAGTATCCTGTTATGTTTGGGTCTGGCTGCCTCCAACCTTCAGCTGTCCAGGCCAGGCTCCACGTTGGTGTCCTGGCTTCTGCATTTTGCCATGTTTCCCGTCCCTTGTTAGCCTTGGGCCCTGACATCACCATTACCTCCTTGCACCTGAGTGAGAATGAAGCCATCACAACAGGAATCGCGGTCACAAGCAAGCAAACAGAAGAGGTGGGCGTCGGTCAGGTTGGCTCCAGAGGCTGGAAATACCACGGGGTTATACAAACCGGAGAGCAGGTTTTGGAAACCAGTTGGTTCAAAGCTTTTCTGACTCATTGTGGTGAATTCTTGGCCTGGGGTAAAGGCAAAAAAAAATTTTTTTTAATAAGATGCTAAAGCATTCTAGAGCTGAACTGAATTCACTGATCTCACAGGATCATTTGCTCAACCACCCAGGGTCAGTGTGTACTTTATGAATAGCTGTACTTAGCACCATGTAATGTCTTCGTTTTTTTTAAAGATTTATTTATTTTATTTGAAAGATAAGGTCATTAGAAGGGAAAGGAAGAAGGAGATGGAGATCTTCTATCTGCTGGTTCTCTCCCCAGACACCCACAACAGCTGGGGACGGAGCAGGATGAGGCCAGGGACTCCACTGAGGTCTCCTATATGAGTGGCAGGGGCCCAGGTGCATTAAGAAACAGCTGGATCGAGCATGGAGGCAAGACTCAATCCTAGACACCCCCATATGGTATGCAGACATCCATCAGCCGTGCTTTAACTTACTATGCCACTGTGCCATGATGCTATACTCAGCTCCTCTCTGCAACCATTGGCTTACGCAGCCCCACCTGCTCTGCCAGGCACAGCACCCATCTGATTCTTCAGCAGAGGCCCAACTGAGCTTGCAGCGTCAACCTCTGCTCCTGTGCAGGTGGAATCCACTTATCCCTCCCTCCAGCTCTCTCATTTTATTTGAACCAGCACTTGAAGCTTCAGTGTCCTTTGTCTAAGCATATTCAGACCATGTTGACATTCATGCAAGCTTGCTTTCGTGAGAGAGAGCAGTCACTTCCACAGATAGCCACTTCAATAGCATTTCCAGCATTCATGCTGCAGTAGCCACACACATGATAGTGACTGTCCTTCTGGACAGTGCAGATATAAAGGCCAGCTTCCTCCCTGCTGGGAGTCCTGTGGGCAGTGCTGCCCTATGGTTGTAGGATATGTCTCAGCTTGTTGTATTGTCCTTCACAGTGGGCAGGTGGCACAGAGGTCCAGCTCCCCTGAGGTCTGGACATGGCCAATTCTTTCCCAACCTCCAGCTCTGTTTCATTGTCCCTCTTCTGGAAATCCCTAAAGCAGTTCAGGGAATTATCCATGGGGAGTGCCCCACAGCACAGTCTAACAGCCCTCTAAGCAGAGTCAGCCTGGGAGAGCTGTCAGAGTGTAGGCAGCTCCACCCTGGGGCAGTGAATAGCAAGAGGTCACGTGACTCTTCTTCCATCTATGAGGCCCACAAATGGAATCTATGGGTAGGGACAGCGGCCAGTGGCCAGAAAAAGCTAGCCCCACCTTTGGCCCCATCTTCCATGTCACTCAGGGTGAGGGATGTGAAAAATCATGGTTAGCTGCCTACTGCTACATGTCAAGGACATATCCTGTGCCCCGTAGTTGTGGCACACCATTCCCATCACAGAGGAATAGGAGTAAGCTTCAAATTAAACAGGGAAGCCATGCTGCTCCATGCAGCTTAGTGGGGGCAGAGTCAGAAAGAGACCCAGAGGCCTCTAGCCTCCTTCTTCCTCCTCTGTGCTGGCAGACAGGCAGCTGCCTCTGCAGTCTGGAACAAAAAAAGCAAAACAAACCAAAGGGCAATGCACAGTTCTGACCCAGATCCAGTTTGGCAACAAGGAAATTTCTCAATTTCCTCAGCAAAAATGTTCTCCAAAGTATAAACTTTCAAGAGGCAGAAAAACAACAACAACAAAAAAAGCAGGAGTAGATACTTTAAAAGAAACATAATTACATTTTTTTATAGTTACAAAAAGAAAGGCCAAATTATGGTTTTTAAGGAACTTTTGGTGGAGGTCACTTGCTTATTTGGGTTCTTATTTTTAGAAAACAGTCCCAATGCTTTGTTACTTTAAAAATGGACAGGGTCCGTGGCCAGTGACCAGAAGAACCAGAGCTGTGTCTGACTACAGCCTCCCTGGCAGTTGATGCTAAGTCAAGGTGGAGGTGCAGGCAAACCCTGTAGGGCAGAATCTCCTGGGGTTACTGCTGTCCCTAGCCACCTGCCCTAAGCCATGACCTCAGAAAAAGACACCCCCACTCCTTCCTTCATCCCCATCCCACTGTCAGCCACCTCTGCTTGCCTTCTGCTTGACAGCCATTGCCTTGGGCTGGCAGGAAGCTTCCTAGCTAGAAGGCAAAATGATCACATTGAGGTCCTCCACGTTTCCAGCATTTGTCCCATGCCAAGCAATGTTATGGGCTTCACTGGGGTCACATCATCCCAATCCCCCAGTTACCTGGATCCTCTTAGGATGCATGCTACATGATCATAGAAACAGGCCTAGAATGCTAAGGAGCATGCCCAGGCCTCCACAGTGTGTGCATGGTTGAGCTCGGCTTGCACCCAGACAGGCCTGCTCCAGTGTGAATCAAGAAACAAAGGAAAGATCCAGGTTTGCTGAGGCAGAGCATGGCTGTGGTCCACGGCTCACAACCCATGGTACGGGCATTGTTCAGACAGGACAGAGCAGGGCCCAGAAGCACAGCCACAACATTCTGGGAAAGAAGCTGCTGATCGCCGCCATTCCAGAGGCTAGTGCAGCGCCCTGCTGTCCCTCTGGCAGGTGCCGCATGAGATCCCTGACACAACCAGACTCCATCCTATCTCCCTGGCTTATTTTCCCTCAGTGAGTGTGAGATAACAAAGTGCATCTGTGCCTTGCTCTGGGAGTGTCTTAAAGGCATGAAAGGCAAGGTGGGAAAGCACATAGAAAACTCTGAGATGCTGTGCTTATCTCTGCTCAAGCAAAGGATGGTGATGGAACAGCAACAAAGCATCCTTGGCTATTCCTAATGCACTATGCCCAGGAATAGACACTGGAGCAGTACACACTTCCCACATCCCCAGGTCACATGCACGCACACTTCCCAGAGGATGCAGTCTCCTCAGTCATGTGAGTGCACACTCCCCAGATTGTGTGCTTCGCACACCCCCAGACTGAGTGTGCCCACTGCTGGCATGGTTCACACCCCTATGTCACGTACATGTACAGTGCTGAAGTGGGACGCCTGAAATCTGTGGAACAGACAAAGCCCTTTGAGGTCTGAGCTGGCTGTCGAGCAAAATTGGATCATGGCCACAGAGAAGAGATTCAGAGAAGCTCCTGGGTCAGGAGGCCCAGAAGGGGAAGTTGTGGGGAGCCCCAGCGGCAGGGACCCTATGGTGATGGCCTCACTACAGGCAGTGGTGGGGGTTTGCCTAGGGGTGCAGTTGGGCCCCAGCTGGGTTTTGCTCAGAACCCTTCCAACAACAGCTTTGTGTCCTCCACAATTTCATTTCTCACCTGCAGCTCGAGCCTCCCAAGCTTGCAGATGGGACAGGATATATAACATGATGACAGGTGACAATGACATGGCGAGCTCTTTGTCAAAGAACACCTGGGACAGATCTACTGCAGGGTGGGAGTGAGAGAAGTCAGGTTGAGTGCATGGAGCACGGGACAGTCTGATTTCTTCTTAATTGCAGCCTGCTGGAAAGCAGCTCCAACATGACCAAGGGAAGCTACCAGTGAATGACACAATCATCCAGCTTGACCAACCTACCCTTCTTCAAATACACAGCCAGAGAATCTGAACTGCGGTTCCTCACTTGCACTTGGCACCTAAGGCTTGCAAAGCTGGCGGCCTTCACGTTCCCCAATGCGTCTTGTTCCTGGAAATGAAAATCGATCATGTTATTATCCTCTGGCATCCAATGCTTCTATTCAATGACTATCCATGGCCTCGAGGGAAGAGGTGTTGCCTGCTTTTCCACTGGAGCTGACAGCCAGGTAGGTAAGCAGTGAATTCCAACCTAGACCATTACCTACAACCTTGACTGTATCTAGAGAGCAGGGAAGGAGAAAAGAGTGACTGATCCTATTGAGAAATGTGAGCTAGAAAATTCTGGGGCAAAGTATTAACCTATGTATGAGCTGGAATTCACCAGGTAGACACAGATGAAGAGCATTTAATGCAGAAGGAACAGCAGGCACAGAGACCAGGAACCACATGGGGATTCATGTACCAAGTCTAGTGGTGTTTGGAGTCAGTTATGGTGTGGGGAGAGAGATGAGAAAGAGCAGGAGCCAGCTCCTGGCCCAGTCATGCAGCTGAGGATCTGGGGGAGAGTTTTAAACTGGGAGAGTGCAAGGTCAGAGTTGCCAAGACATTGCTGTTCTCTTGTATTTCTGTTCTCTCCGCCTTACTTCCAGCAACTGTGCTTTGCAGGTGCAGAAGGAGAAACCACACACCATCATTGTGTAGGCATTTTCCTTGTATTTTCCCTGAGCTTGGGATTCCTGTGGACATTTCTGAGAGCAGAGTCATGATAAAGGATGCTGAAAACTGTGACTCTTGTTGCTTTTCAGGGAGCTGGACTCGCTCGACAGATGAGGGCAGAAAGGGCTGGGTGAAGCATGGCAGACCTGAGACCTCCAGCCTACGATCCTGTAGCAGCAGCAGCCTTTGCTCCATCAGTGGCACTGTCCTACTGAGGCAGCGAGCTAGCAGATCTGGGGATGTTAAGTCCTCCCACCTGGACCAAGAGTCCCTTCACACTTCAAGTCTGGCCTAGGAGCAGTGAAGCTAGGACCATGGGTCTTATTGAGCAGTGTGGAACAATCTGGAAAGACCACTTAGCAAACTGTCACAACCCAGGATGCAGGCCTGCATGGAGAGCCCAAAGCCACAGAGAGGAGCCTTCTCAGCTGACACAAAATGTTCCAGGAACCTGATTCAGGAGCAAGGGCAGTGAATGAAATAACAGCCATTGTAATCATTATAGGAAATGCTCCTTGAGCATTTACTGCACAGCCTAAGCTGTTCTGGGATTCTTCTCTATGATGGTCTCATCTAGTCCTAACTATCCCCATGCCATGAGAGCCTCAAGAAAGCAGTGGATGCAAGTCCCTCATTCCTGTTTCTACCATGTTGCAACAGACCATGGCTTAAGAGCTCTAAAAGTCAAGGGACCCTATCTATGCCCCTTCTGAGATGTTATTTACAAATACACTCTCACATGCAAGTACAAGGGCAAAAGGGTATATGACACTCCAGTGACAAAACTGCCACAAACTTCTTATCCTCCATGAAGGGAGGGGGTATGGAGTAAGTCATGCACACCCACAGAATGGTTAGTGGTAAAGATACAGGGACAATTCAAGCAATGAGACACATAAGATAGACAAGAAAGCAGATTATGAAATATTAGCCCCCATAGGAACATGCTTAGCAGGAGCATTCTCCTTTCTGAAGGAGGTGAAAGAAAGCTGGGAAGGGAAGTGGAGACGTGTGTGTGCTAGGACCAGGAGCTAATGTGTCCCACAGAAAGTAACATTGTTTCACAGTGCTGACTCACAGATGCACATGGGCACTCATGTGAATACCGGAAGCTTTGCCTTGTCAAACTATAATTATTGCTATGTGGAAGGAAGTCCTGAGCCAGAGCTCTGAGGGGCAAATGGTGCTCAGAGCCCTCACTGTTGAGTAGCCCAGTACATGCTGCCTGCTGGGACAGGAAAGGTGGCTGGCATGAGACTCTTTTGTCTGGTGCCTTGGGAGACCATCATGAAACTAATTCTGGCCAATCACAGCTTCCATTTCTCAACATCCCACCACTCTGGAAAAAAAGTGCGTGGGATGGGACCACTATCCTGTCTCTCCTCCTGTCATCTAACTGTTCTAGGGTCACTGAGGGACAACAGGCAGAACTGTCACACCTCACCTGACCAGAAGTCACACAGGCGTAGCTGTCACTTGTCCAAGTGTGGAACTCACACGAAACCTCCGACCCTGCTGTGGACACTGCCACAAAGCTGCAGGCCTCATCCTCTGCACAGTCTGTAAGCACATGGGTGGGAGACAGTCACCCACCTGGCTGTCACGGCAGACCACCACACACCCACACAGGCACACATATAGACACATGCAAACACAAATGTAGCACATACACAAACGCACACATGGGAGACGCTTACTCAGCACATCCCAAGGAGCACATCTTCTGCCTCATGAGTCACTCACGGACTCCCACCCCCATCTCAGGAAGACAGAAGCGGCAGCATGGCGGACACACAAGTGCCACCTGGCTGGATCCCCAGTGGATCAGGGAGGGTCCTGTCCTGGGTTGCCCTGTTCCCTGTGTGACAGAACAACATCCTGCAAGACACCCTGAGGAGCCTGCCTTGTTCAAGGTGTCACCTGTCACGCATTAGCTGAAGTCATGAGGCTTAGCCTGGCTGGATAAACCATCTCCAGATGCTGACAGATGAACCTGTGATTCTGCATTCTCTTCCCTCTCTCCTCTCACTGGCTTGCCCCTCCACCTGCAGCTGCGTCACAGGGCGTGTGCACGACTGAGTGTGTGATAGTCCTTAGATACAAGCTCCACATTCCTGGTGTGGCTTCCATATCCACGCTGTTGACACCCTGGTTCTATCTCTCTGGTTGCTGTGAATTTCACCCGTTCTAAAACCATGTTTGTTCCAGCTCCTGCACCATTCCTTTCCACTGTGTTTGTAACACAAACAATAGCCAAAAGCATAACCAAAGCAGGCATCTGAAATAGATTCCCACACATCACACTGTGAGTAAATCACATGTGATTACCCAGGGGTGCCGAACACAGTGGTTAGGACTCGGTTTGAGCTTAAATTCTGTCACTTGCTAGTTCTGCGTCAATGAGACAAACTTTCAAAGTCATATTTTTCTCAACTGTAATTCAAGAAAACCATGCCTGCATTGTGGGTGGCTGAAGGATAATGCAACAAGCAGTGGCTGTTATTACTGCTTCCCTGACCGCGCTGTGCAGACAGACACACCTCTATCCCAACCTCAGAAAATAGCTCTATGATGAACTAATACCCTTCACATCCATTCCTTAAGATTGAACAGTTCTTCGTATGCAGCAGGTGCCTTATAAATCCTGCAATGAGATTTTTCTGGCTAACAAAACATGCATTTTGAAAGTCGCTGGGTTTACTGTGGGTTTTGATAAGGTTTTTTTTTTTATTATAGTTTTAATGCTTTGATTCAGTTTGCCTTGCCAGTATTAGCAGGAGAGACTTCTACACCATTGACTGTGTGCCCATCTTATCACCATCCCTTACCTGCCAAGCACTGCACCAATGAGAATTCAGAGCCAGCAACTTTGGAGCTGACTGCCACTGGGGCCTCAGCACTGGAGACCACCTTCCATGCCGGAGCTTTCTCAAATTTCAGCATAACTGAGAATTAAGCACAATTATCAATTTTGTGAATCTTTCTCTGAATGGTGAAGAGAAGTAGGAAAAAAAAAAGCAGAGTACTGAGTCTAGAAGTCACTTCCCTTTGTCAGCCAATTGGCCACGCAAATGTTCAACAAAGAGCAATTTCTTTCAAAGTGTCCTCAGCTTGCTGTCTTTTACCCAATACTGACAGACCTTAAAGGACAATTTAATATGCTAGAAACTTACAACTCCTCCTGCTTTTTCTATCTAAACTTTTACTTTCCTATTTTGTCATCTTTGAATTCTAATTAGAGTATACATAAAATAATATTTTATTATATTTTTTCTTGCCATGAAACAACTTGAATTATTTCTGATACATGCTATTTTATTTTTGCAAGATAGGTGCACATGGGCTCCTATAAATGTGGAGGTATGTCTTGTGGCTCAGGAGCTTTTAAAACAGTATTTGTTGAAGTGATGAAACAGCATCTGTTTCTCCAGCCACCATCAGCACATGTGAACTCCATTTGGTTATAATATCATAACCACATGCCCACTGAACTAGACAAATGAGGAGAAACCAGTTTAATTTCTCAAGGCTATCAGACTTGGAACTCAATTTTTACCAGGCAAAGAAAAGCACACAGAGCAACTCAAGAAATGAGACTCATCTTCTAAGCAGACTATCAAAAATCAAGGCTTCTACTTAAGTCCAAGGCACAAGAGTATCGGCTCTTTGCAGACATGCTTAAAAACTCTATAGAAGAAAAAAAAGATGGCCGACCTCGAGGAGCTGGTATAAGGTGGAGAACAAAGAGAGAAGGACAGATCCAGCAGAGGAACAAACCAGGAGACACAGAATTGCAGGGAGAGGAGTGGGAAAGACACTAGACTGCACTGAAGTAAGAAGATCAACTCAGCCTGCAGGGACAGTCAGAAAAAGAAAGAAAGGAAAGACAGCACACTGTGCAAGACTTGGTGAGTTGCGGTCCCACACAGGGGGAAGGTCGGCTGCGCAGTCTTGGTCGACCCAAGGAAGACAAGGGCAACGGCAAAAACAAGCTCCCGCACCAGCGGGAGCCACAGACTACTGGAGCCCCGGAAACGTTAAGGGTGGCTACAGGTTTGAACATAGGGGCCATCAACCCCCATAGAGGTTGAGGACAAGCAGGGGAGGGGGCCCCAGCAGAACGCCCGCAAACAGCTCAGCACCATTGAGAGAGTGTAGAGGGGGCTGGAGCCACTCTCGGGGACTGGGTCATAGAAACTCGGCTCTAAACTGTGGATTAGCTGCCGGGTTTCCAGCTGTGCTCAGCCTGAGCCCAGAAGGGAAGCACCGCACCTCAGAGTCAGCCAACCCAGACGGAGGTGAGGGTTAGAAGGGACACAGCTGCGCACCTTACAGCTGGGGAACACATCTGAGTGAGTTCAGCGGGAATCTTCACTAGGCCTTGACATCCCAAGCTTTTCTGACCCAGCTCCGTGCTGCGGATTTCAAGCTGCAGGCAACTGGAAACTCCAGTGGAGACCAGCTCTCCTAACCCAGCTTGGGGCTGCAAATTCCAAGCCTTAAGCTGGCAACAGAAGGCTTAGGTGGAACCCCCTGCCAGGCTCAGCTCTTAGCCCAGAGGCGGGGCACTGATTCACGGGCTAGCAGGACCACGACAGTGTGTTCCACAGTGCGACAGCACCTTTCAGAAAGCGCAACAGGGGCCCTCACTAGATCAGGGCACGCCAAGTTGTCCCAAACCAGCTCAGGGCTGCGAATTCCGAGCCACAGGCAGTTGGAAGCTCCGGTGGAACCCCCTGCTGTGCTCAGCCCCATCTCCAGAGGCGGGGCAGCACTGCTCCACACAGCTAGCTGAGCTGGGCAGGGTCACAGGCTGGCAGGCTTGGAGGGAGATGACAGTGCGCCTCACAGTGCCTGTGAGCAAGTGTAACAGGTAGAGCAGCCTCGCACTAGGGCCAGGCCCACAGAACCTTCCGACACAACTCAGGGTCAGAAAGAGCAGCAGGTGGCTGGAGACTGGGGCAGAATACCCTGCTGTGCTGTACTTAGCTTTAACTCCAGAGGCGGGGCACTGCTCAATAGAGTCTGCTGACCTGGGCAGAGGCACAGGCAAGCGGGCCACAGAAGCCTGTCTCCCAACAGGGGAGTACATTTGTGAGAGTATAGCAGGGTGTGGAACCGCACACTCTATATCCACCCAGAGCAAAGACAAGAAACCCAAGCCTACAAAGTCTCTCATCCGCACTCTATCCCTGTTGGCACACACAAGACAATACCTAACGGAGGAAACAGAAGGAGGCTGACCGGGAAGGGCAGGCATAGAGGAGGACTTGGTAAAAGAGGGACGAAAGATAGCTGAGGGAAGAGCAGCAGACCAGAAATGTTTAGAGAAGAGTGCTTAAAGCGTCCCTGAACACGGAGCAACCAAGAAGAATCATGCAACTTAGGAATCCAGAGAAAGTAAGCAGGAAACACAACAACCCGCCCGGAGCGTGGAAAAAAATAGCACAATGAGAAAAAGCATCAGAAAAAGCAACAACTCAGTTGAGAGAGCCAGCACCCCACCAAATGAGGGCCAAAAGCCATTACCAACATCGGAGATGCGAGATGAAGACAAGGAAGATGTACCAGACAAGGAATTTAAACAAATAATGCTAAAATTCGTCAGAGACCATGAGAAGAAGTGGGAAGACTTCAAGAACAAAATAGTCACAGAAATACAACAAGTCAAAACCAAAATGACTGACATGGAATTTAAAATGCAAAGTTGGACCAACAGAATAAATACAGCAGAAGAAAGGATCTCCGAAACTGAAGACACACGTAATGCAGATACCAAGCTTGTTAAACAGCTGGAGACAAGCCTCATCAAAGCTAATAAAATGATACAAGAAATGAAAGATCACCTCAGAAAATCGAATATTCGGATCATGGGTCTTCCCGAAGGAGTGGAAAGAGAGTCAGGAATGCAAGGGGTGCTCAACAAAATTATACAGGAAAACTTCCAAAACACTGGGAACATGAATCCAACCCACATATAAGACGGACAGAGAACTCCCAACAGACATGACCCAAAGAGATCTTCACCCAGACACATGGTACTCAAGCTCTACTCCAATGAAGTCAAAGAAAGAATCCTGAGACAAGTACGAAGCAGAGAAAAGATCACATACAGGGGAAAACCAATCAGAATCACTGCTGACCTCTCTGAAGAGACCCTACAAGCAAGGAGAGAATGGACAAAGATTTTCCAAATCCTGAAGCAAAACAACTGTCAACCAAGAATAATATACCCAGCAAAGATCTCATTTATATATGAGAATGAAATCAGATACTTCCATAGCAAGGAAAACCTAGAAGAATATGTCAACACAAAACAGTTCTACAAAATCTCCTTAGAAATGCACTAAATCCAGAAAAAAAGGAGGCAAACCATAAACAAAGATGGCAAACAGGAAGGTCTCCAAACTAAAGCCCACACAAGGAAGGGCAATTACACAGATAACAACGCACACAAAACACACTCGCATGGCAGGGCAAAGTCGCAACCTCTCAATTTTAACTCTTAACACAAATGGTCTAAATTCACCAATCAAAAGACAGAGATTAATGGAGTGGATCATCAAACAAGACCCAACTATATGTTGCCTACAAGAAACACATCTAACCAAAAAAGATGCAAAGAAACTGAAAGTGAAGGGATGGAAAAAGATGTTTCATGCCAATGGACGAGAAAAAAAAGCTGGGGTAGCTGTCCTAATTTCAGACGAGATAGATTTCAATCTAACTAACATCAAAAGAGACAGGGAAGGCCATTTTATACTGGTGAAAGGAATGATCCATCAAGAAGCAATCACCATCATTAATGTTTATGCACCAAATCTCAATGCGCCTAGTTACGTAAAGCAATTACTTACAGACTTAAGGGAAGACATAGATACCCACACAATTCTTGTAGGCGATCTCAACACACCTTTAACATCAATGGACCGTTCTACGAAACAAAAACTCAACAAAGAAACAACAGAGCTCACACAAACAATAGAACAACTGGACTTAGTAGACATATATAGAACTTTTTATCCTAAGGCCACAGACCATACATTCTTCTCAGCAGTGCATGGCACCTTCTCCAGAATCGACCACATGATAGGACACAAAGCGAATCTAAATAACTTCCAAAACATTAGAATCATACCATGTACCCTCTCAGACCATCATGGGATGAAACTGGAAATCAACAACTCAAAACTCCCTAGGAAATATGGACACTCTTGGAAGTTGAACAATATGCTATTAAACGAACAATGGGTCAGGGAAGAAATTAAAGATGAGATAAAAAATTTATGGAAACCAATGAAAACTCTGATACAACATTCCAAAACTTGTGGGACACCGCCAAAGCAGTGCTACGGGGTAAACTCATTGCAACTGAAGCCCATGTCAAGGCCCAAGAAAGACGCCAAATACAGGAACTAACCACACACCTCCAGGAGCTGGAAAAACAGCAACAAAAGAGCCACAGGCACAATAGAAAACAAGAAATCATCAAAACAAGGGAGGAAATAAACCAAATAGAAATAAAAAAAAAAACTATACATAAAATCAACAAATCAAAAAGTTGGTTTTTTGAGAAAATAAACAAAATAGACACTCCACTGGCCCGACTGACCAAAGAACAACAAGAGAAAGCGAGAATCAACAGCATTAAAGATGAAAAAGGCAACATAACAACAGACACTGCAACCATTAAGAAAATAATTAGAAATTACTACAAAGAACTGTACTCCAATAAATTAGAGGACCACCAAGAAATGGAAAAGTTCTTAGACCTCCACCACTTACCAAAACTCTGTCCAGAGGCAACAGAAGAATTAAATAAACCCATAACTGAGACAGAGATTGAAGCAGTCATCAAGGATCTCCCAACAAAGAAAAGCCCAGGCCCAGACGGCTTCACTACAGAATTCTACAAAACATTCCGAACAGAACTAACCCCAATCCT